TCCACTTGGGCTCAGGTACCTCTGGGTTTTGTGATAGTGGATTTGATGTTATTTAACATGTTTTGTGATGATTTGGGCTTGGAATTGTGCAGGTAGTCACTGGGGAGGAGGATGCGGATCAAGATGGGGGAGATCGGGGACATGATCGGAGACATGGGAATGATTGGAATCGGAGGGACAATGTGGTCTGTGTTGGGCTGAGATTGATTGTGGAATTGAATGTATTTGTGGTTTTGAATTGGATTTTATGTGGAATTGAAATCTAGGGTTTTATTGATTGATTTTGCAGAAACAGGGTCGTTCGCGGCGTGAGGAGGAGTGGGAGGTTGAGGGTTCGAGGATTTCTGGTCAACGACAGCAGGTTAGATCTGTTTTCTTCACCATTCCAAGTGTTGAGATCATTTTTTTCTCATTGTTATACTTCTCTCAAGTCGCTCTAATGTTCTTTCCTTCCAATGAGATTTACACATTTTAAAAGTTTAGATTCACATTTCAGGGTCTTCTTCTTCATAGCTTAACATTGGGAAACTTTGAATTGGCTGATGTGACCCCTTAATCCTATGGGCAGTTCTCTACTAATTCTCTTTTAGCAGACATGGGTCGTATCACTTACCTCATTGAGACCTCTTTGTCTAAACCCATATAGAAGGACAACTACCCAAAGAAAATCCAAAATTTCCTTTGGGAGCTATCGCACAGAGTCATCAGTACCAAAAATGTTCTTCGAAGGCTTATGCTATTCATGGCTTTATCCCCTGGGTGGTGTTCTCTTTGTAAACCTGATGATGAAACCCAGAGTCACATCTTTATATACTGTCCATTTGCAAGGAGATTCTTCCTTTGGCTGGCATTTGGTTTGTCCTAGAAATGTTAAGGATTTTCTCATCTCAGTTCTTATTGGGGCACCCATTCAAGAATATTAAGGCTTTTCTGTGATAAATTTTACATCCCATTTGTAAATTTCATGCATCAATGAATTACATACACACATATATGTATATTATATGTAGACACATACATATATACGTGCATATTAAACATCTGTAGTAGGTATCCTGGTATGTATATCGAGTAAATTGTACAAGCTTTGTTATTTCGACCTCTTCTAAGGTCTTATCATTTGATTCTTATCTCGATATCACTCAAGTTGCTTATCCTAGAAAGAGAAATTTTCCCACAAGTGATGATAAATGCTGTAGTTGCTTTTATTAGAATTATTTTTTTTTTGACATTTTCTTTTATTAGATTCAATTATGTCGATTGATGTTTTCAGCTATTTTATCACTAGTTCAGTCCTAATAGCAGTTTCATTTCCTCCAATCTGATTGATAAAATGGCTGACTTCATATGAATCGTGTGAACAGGGTGAATATGGTAGCGAGCATGGTTACAACAGAGATCAGTGGGCTAAAAAGGTCTTTTTCTCTTGTTTTTTAATTTTCTGTGTTTTCTATTCCATGAAATTGATTGGACCCTTTTTTATCAACGTTTGGTTTTTGATTTTTAGGTTTCGAAATTGAAGCCTATAAATGGGGGTTTCCTTGTTTTGATATCTACTTTTCATATATTTTCACAAACCAAGCCATGTTTAGAAAACTAAAAAAGTAGTTTTAAAAATCTTGTTTTAGTTTATGAATTTAGCAAAGAATTCAAAATGTTTTCTTTAAGAAAGATGAAATTGATGGTAGAAAAATAATATGAAAACATGCACAATGTTCCAAATCTAAAAACCAACAACTAGAAATAAAAAATAAATTGGTTAGCAAACGAGAACTTAGTTCTTTTCACTTATATTTTCTAATGGTATTAACTGGCACAGGAGAGCTCTGAGGAGAACAATGATGGGTGGGAGACTGTTCACAAAAAGGCACCTAGGAAACATCACAAGGTTACTTATCATACGAAAAGTATTTTGACAAATACATGTTGGATGTGTTGTTTTATATGGCCAATTAGTCCATATACTTGCTTGGAAGAGAACTTGTAACAAAATTTCAGTTCTTTTATACATTACATTAAAGAGAGCCTTAACGTTATGCAAGATGTCATTGAGTCTGAATGCCTACCTTGGATGGTGTACGAACATAAAGATGAAATCATTGGTGTAGCTCTTGAAGTAAGCAATGTTTGTAAGCATGATAATCATGGGCATTTATGATGTTTACTTAGAACTAAAAGTTATTTGTGTTTATTAGTTGATAATTGGGGTGTGCAGTAGCATTAGTTAAGGTTAGCAGATCTTGAGTGTGACATATTTAGCTACAGATGCATAATTAGTCATACCTTTTCCAATCGTACTATCTTTTTTCATTTTTTTCCCTTTTTTAGAGCAAGAAACCAAACTTTCATTGAGAAAAATAATAATAATATATAAAGGCATACAAAAAAAAAAAAAAAAAAAAAAAAAAAAAAAAAAAAAAAAAAAAAAAAAAAAAAAAAAAAAAAAAAAAAAAAAAAAAAAAAAAAAAAAAAAAAAAAAAAAAAAAAAAAAAATCATGTTTAATCTTCAAATGGGTGTTCACCTTCGGATCATGCCGTCATCTATGTGGTGGTAGTCTGATGTATGGATGATTCAGAGGATTTGTGATGTTTGATGTTTCTATTACAAGATCATGCTTACCATGCATTTTCACTTAGTTTCTGTGCAAGTCTTTTCGATTTATGACTAGTGGTGAACTTTGAGAGGTTTCATGATAGTTGCTTGGAGTTCAAACAAACTCTAAAATTTACTCCTCTGCAATAAATTTTTAGGTGCAGGTAGAAAATTGGGAAGGATACAAACGGCCTGCCAGTGAACAAAACTATTCTGATGAGGTGGAAGTAGGTGCTGAGCTAGAACCCTCTGAGGACGAGCTTGCTGATTTTGCCCGGGCCTGTAACAAGCTATGGGAACTTGATTTAAATCGTTTGGTACCTGGACAAGATTATGAAATTGATTGTGGTGAAGGAAAAAGGGTCCATGGAAGGGAAGATATGGCACAAGCAAGCCTCTTTAGTTGGGTTAATGAAGACGTATTTAGGAAGCCAACATTTTCACGTTTTTGCTCTCTACTTGATAACTACAATCCCGATCAAGGGAGCAAAGAAGTTGTGACACCTGAGGAGAGGCAAGAGCAGGCTGCATTCATAGAAGAAATTAGTAGAACTGCACCAATTAAGTACCTTCATAAGTACCTTTTATACAAGGGAGTTGCATCAAATGACTATCAAGATTTCAAACGTATGCTGACCAGTCTGTGGTTCGATCTTTATGGTCGGGGTGGAACATCTCATTCCTCTTCTGCCTTTGAACATGTTTTTGTTGGAGAAATCAAGCAACAAGGTGGACAAGAGGTTTCTGGTTTCCACAACTGGCTTCAGGTTAGTGCCTTCCTGAGATTAGCTATCACAAAAGATAATGCTTGAAATTTAAGATATAAATAATCGATCTGTTTAATATTGTATCTAACCGTTGAGGCTCTTCATGTATTCACCAAGGTTAATATTAAGCAAGGGGGCGGAACAAAGAAGGAAAATGTTGCCCTCTTGGCTTGTCTTAGGTTAAAAAACTATATAAAAAGGTAAAAATTTTAAGGTTTTCTCTCTAATTTGCTAATTTCCAAATTATATGTATAATAAGAAAAGTTAGAAAGTAAAATCTTTCTACATCGTTTGTAAACTCTGGATTCTCCCCTTAAATTTCTCCCCTTAAATGGAAATGAACAACTTGGATCAGTTCATCTTAGAATACATTTTTAAATTGTGAAGTTGACTGAGTTCTTGTCCGTAAATGAATATAACGTTTTGTCCCCAAATCTAACGAACCTATCATTTTCTTAATATTAGTATTTTCTTTGCTGGAGTTTCCCGAACTTATTTTCTTCCTTTATGTCTGACTTTTCTTCCATGTGCATTTATTCCAAATCTAGTTTTACCTTGAAGAAGCTAAAGGGAGTGTTGACTATCAAGGTTATATTTTCCCCAGACGACGTGGCCAGTTTGTAAGTAACTCAACTTCACGTTTTTTTCTTTTGGTGGTATTTGATGTTGAGATGTAAAGAAATAAGTTGTGAATGCCCATGCCATGCAGCATCATTCAGGCTATTAAAAGAAACTAAATGATCATTTATGATTCAGGCCTTTTGTGGTTACCATACAAGAATAACCTTCATTTTCCTGACATTCTTCAGACGATTAAATTTGTGTTATTCCACCAAACTTTAGTTTTCATTAGATCAGCCTTTCCCACTTTAAATTCTAGAGCTTGCCTCACTTTTTGGAAGATAAGCATTCTCTTCTCTGTAATCTAAACCATGTCTCTTACTTAACTATTTGTTTGCTAACCCTGCAGCCTGATTCAGAAACTCAATTGCTTACCATTCAGTTTGAATGGAATGGTGTTCTCAAATCTGTCTCAAGCACTTTAGTAGGAGTTAGCCCTGAGTTTGAACTTGCACTGTATACACTATGCTTCTTCCTTGGCGGAGAGGATAACCATGTTGAGCTCGGACCATATCCTGTTAATATCAAGTGCTATCGATTAGGAAACAAAATCGGGTCTGTGTTTCCTGTAGCAGAGTCTTGAAGTTCCTTCGCTGGGATTAATCCAGTTATTTCCTCTACATTTAGCAGTATACATCTAAGTAAGGATTGTATCATAGATTTTGAGATAATGATATCTTTAGAAGGTGACCAAAAATACTGTGTGATGGAATAACATGATTCTCAGGATGTACCCATTAGTTCCTAGAGGATACTTGAACTTTTGTATTATCACATGGATTTGCAAGGGGTGCCTTCATATCTTCCTTATTTTGTAAATGGCTTGTAACGATACTGAGTCAAGCAATTGATGTTTGCTTTCATTTCTTCCCAAAATTGAATTCATGTGCAACATTATCCAAATGCATTTGATTCTCACTTTTCCTTCTATATGCATATTCATTTTGTACCTTTCTCTGCATATTGCTACTATGTAATATCATTTAAATTCAATGCTTATTCTATAACATGGGTAGGAACTTGGATCATATACGTGGTCATCACTCTGTCTCTTACATCTCTATGCTAAACATGCACAATCAGTACCTTGTGAACTGACTGATGGTTTCAGTATATTGTATTGTCTTGGAATGTTCAAACCAGGAGATTAAGTGTCAACTTTTTTTGCCTGGCAAGGCCTAATAATGCAGAACTTCCTCTTGTGATCTAAAATCTTGATTAGTTGTTCCTGAAATTGAGTTTTGTTCTTTATTTTGACGAGAGTAACTTGAATGGCTGCCCTAACTAAGAGATGGAAGTATGCAAAGAAAAAAGACAAGACAAAGGGACGTGTAATGTCAATTCTGTCTTGGATACTGTCTAAAATATCAGTTTCACAGAATTCTTGGAGATTGCAAGATCATTAGGATAACTGAGAAATAGTTTCGGGCAAATATCTTCGGAGTTTAAAGATATTTTAAGGGAAAGAAGGTCTATGTCATACTCCATTTTGGAAGGTAAGCTTCATTTCTTTCATATCTTTATTGTTTAGGAGTTAGTCATATTATTCTTCTTATCTCCATGAAATAGGAAACACTTTTTTCTACAGTTTCACCAATCAACGGGGTTAGTGCAGCTGTGATATTTCTCCCGAAAAGTCAACAGCCTATCTTTTATGGGATAGAAGCTAGACAATGAACCTATCCGATCTGTTTTCTAAGGCAAGGGGCTTGAGCGCTAGGTAGTTACAAGGTAAAGTTTATAAATGTTTCATATATGTAGCATACTCCATTAGGTTATGATACTGGAAATGTTGTCTTTTTTCAGTTCATTCAGTTTCATCTCTATGGCCATCTTACTTAATACATATTGTTATATTGATCAAGACGATACTCACTGCGAGAATGATCTATTTCTATTTTGGTTGTAGGTATAATGGCTTAAACTAGTATGTGGATGACTAAACTTTTAGGCAGAGAAGGTTGGATTCATAAAATACATTACTTTATACACTTGGCTTTGTAGGTGTAACCACTTAGCTTTTTGGGTTCTCATTTGTTTTGTTAGGCTTTTTAGATGGAGACCTTTTAAGTGTTCAATGTGAACAGAGAGAGTTGGTGGTCCAGTGAAAACTTCTAAACTAGAGTTTCTACAAGGTCTTGAGTATAGAACTTGTACACTAACATCCCACAAAAAAATAAGTTAAAAATAAAACAAAACAAAGAAAGGGATGGTTAACAAGTTCAAGGTCTAAAAACAAAATTGGTATCCATTGGAGATCTTTACATTAATTTGTTTATAACATACAAGTGGTCACTCTTAATCTTTGTCATATTTAGAACTTAATTACCATAAAAGTTGATCAAAAAAAGAAGAAAATGTAAAATTTGAGCTCTATTACATTGATACTATGAAGATGGAGATCCACAAAAAACTCAGCCTTGAAATTGAATGAACATGTCTTCCTTTACCCCAAAATGTTGGTACTTTTTTGGTGGTTGTGTTTACCCAAATTCCTTAGCTCAAAATGTAACCTTAACTTTATTAGTATGGTCGAAAGCTAAACGTGTTTTTCTTGAGTCTAAAATTTGATAATCATTTGCTGGAATATAAGTTTTTTGATTAAAAAATATTATAGGATCAAAGAATTCCATTCCAAATATAGTTTCTTGCTTCCAATTTTTGAGAAACGCGTTTATTCTGCAACATTATCAGATGGGACCTTAAAATTTCCAGCCTTAGATCAAAATAATATTTTCTCCCTATCAGGCTATTTTCTTTCCTCCTCATTTTCCTTTTGGCTTTCATGAGCGGGAAAAGGAAAAATGAAAAAAAAAACTTGGGAAGGGATAAGAACTAATGACCTCCACAGAAAAATCTAATGGTTGGCCTAACAATGACATGGCCACAGCTCAGCATAGTTCTTCTTCTTCTCTAAAAGACTGAACTGTCAAAATCGAAGTTTGGATCTTTCCCAATCCAAGTTTCTGCTTTCCTTTCAATCCAATTGGCCAACACAATGAGAATCTTTTGGTCTCCATCTTTCAAATTCAACCTCTCATTTTCATGAGTTAGATTAAAAAAAAAAAAAAAAAAACAGAAAGCCTTGAAATCACTTGAGCACCTCAAGGGAAGAATGTCGTTTTTCTAGCAATAACAGTAAGCTTCTAGCAGAGGAGTGAGATCAGAAAAAAGGGGTGGCTCTTTTGGCTAAGGCTTGTGGTTTATGCTACGCAAAGGTCGCACATTCAAAGCGTGTTTGAATCTTGAATGAGTTTAATAAGGGGAACTCATGATGTCTACAAAGTTTGGGCCTTCTGTTGGGCAGGCTAAAAAAAGCTGAAGGTGGTGGATGCATTTCCTTGAACCTTGCTCTAATGGGTATCTTTGAAAAAAATCTCCTACCAAAAAACAAAATAAAACTAGAAATCTTGCTGCAGATAAGATTTTGATCATATCACCACATTGTGCATGTTGCTCAATATCACCATTTCTTTGGAGCCTATGAAACAAATTTAGAAAGTAATAAGTTCCAATCAGTGGAGCACTGTGGGGATTTTGCTTGGTTTTTACAATTAGAAAACATAAAACCAGGATATGAAAGAAAACTCTTTGTTTCAGCCACATGTGTAAGCTGAAAGATGCCTTCTTCAGTCTTTCTTATCCTAATGAAACCAGCACCAATAAAACTTCAATATTCCCAAAGTTTTTTTTGCCATCCACACATAACAGTGTGAAGAAAAGTCCACAAATCACTTTCTTTGTGGGTTTCTCGTAGTTTTGGCCAAGTAAACTTAACAGAGGAAGAGATGTAGTGTTCAGCTTTTGGGAGAGAGAGAATTCCACTTTTTTCTCTTGCCTTTTTTGGTCTACCAAAAGGGGAAAAATAATAGAAAAGGGATATCAAAACTCAAAGTAAGATATATTAGTCATTTAGATCCCTGATCTTTGAGAATGCTCAGAGTTTAGCCATTGAAGATACATTTTTAGAGCTGCCAAAAATCACTTAAACGTTGGAGAGTAGCTAAAATTTAAAGCTTGCACCAGGACAAGTTCAGTTAGCAGGGTATTGGTCCCCAAAAAAATATCAGAAATATTTTAGCAACTTCAAGATATTTTCTCTCTCAATGATTAGATTTTGCAGCTACTTTTTCTGGTGTGAACAGAATCCATTTGAGAAATTTTAAAGATGTAACGTTAGGGAGCAAAGGAAAATGTAGAACATTTATGAACTTGGTTTTGTTTGGATCAGAAACTTATGCATATATTCGTCAAAAGAAAAAGAACAGCTCAAGGACCCGGGGTAGAGAGAGGCTTCCAATTGTTAGTAATCTTTAGAAGGCTAAGGTGAAAAGATGTTGGATTTGTTAGTTTGAATGGTTTGGCTTACCTTTGCATTGTTATAGATATGATTGAAATGGCATATTGGCATTGTTTATAACTAGAACTTCTAAATGAACTTTTGGGGTTTTGATTTTTATAATTCAAAGAATATGGAAGTAAATAAACGCGTAATATCGAAAACGGCTTTGAAAAGGTAAAGCCAACAAGTTTTGATTTAATGTACTTTTTCCTTTTAAACGCTAGCCCACAGCCTTTGTTGTCTCCTTCAAAGTTTAAAAGTGTGGAAACATTTTTCATAGATCTTTGTTCATATATATGCAGCATCTTCATACATTTCTATACCTTCTCTTGTGTAAGACGTTCTGCTGAAAAATGACTTTAATGTTACGGTCATCGACTTCTTTCATCCATCTGAATGATACCAAGATCATAAAGGCTCCTCTTCTTGAAGATCTCCATGGCATAATCTCCTTCAAGCAAGCAAAGCCACCGAGCTGTCTCCGAATAAGAAGTTCCTTACAGGAGATTAAGATGGAAAGGGGTAGTAACAAAATGGAGAAACTTCACTCTCTATCTTTGAATCAGCACACAAATGACTTGAGAGTTCCTGTGTTTGTAATGCTTCCTCTTGACACGGTTAGTCTTGGAGGGAGTTTGAACAAACCTCGAACAACGAATGCGAGTTTGATGGCCTTGAAGAGTGCGGGTGTGGAAGGAGTTATGGTGGATGCTTGGTGGGGATTGGTGGAGAAAGATGGACCTATGAAATACAACTGGGAAGGTTATGCTGAGCTTGTGCAGATGGTTCAAAGGCATGGCTTGAAGCTCCAAGTAGTCATGTCTTTTCATCAGTGTGGAGGGAATGTTGGAGATTCTTGCAGGTAACAATCCAAGCAAGGATTCTTTCTCAATTGACTTTGGAAAATTCCTAACCTTCTCTCTTTTATCTTTCAGCATTCCTTTGCCACCATGGGTGCTTGAAGAAATAAGCAAGAACCCAGATCTCGTTTACACAGACAAATCAGGCAGAAGGAATCCGGAATACATCTCGTTGGGATGTGATTCGTTACCCGTGCTCAAAGGAAGAACGCCAATCCAAGTTTATGCTGATTACATGAGGAGCTTCCGGGATCGATTTAGAGACTACTTCGGAGAAGTAATCATGGTATGCATCTACAACTCATTTAGATCTCTCCTTCATCTTCATATTCGCCTACTGAAGTTCATTTGCAACTACAGGAAGTTCAAGTTGGGGCTGGTCCATGTGGGGAACTCAGATATCCATCTTATCCAGAGAGCAATGGAACTTGGAGATTTCCAGGAATTGGGGAATTCCAATGTTATGACAAGGTATCCATGATAGACTCGATATACGTATTTCGTATTAATCTCGAATGTATTTGAGAATAGTGATAACAGGATCTTGCTACATCAAATATCAAACTAGGGGCTGTTGAGCAACTCGAACTTATGTATGATATGTGTTCTGTGTTGAACAGTATATGAGAGCATCCCTGGAGGCAGCAGCAGAGGCCATTGGAAAAAGAGACTGGGGAAGCAGTGGAGGACCAAATGATTCAGGTCAATACAACCAATTCCCTGAAGATTCCGGATTCTTCAAAAGGACAGGAACATGGAACTCGGAATATGGAAAATTCTTTCTCGAATGGTACTCAGGTGAGCTATTACAGCACGGCGATAGAGTCATTTCAGCTGCAAAGGGAATTTTCCATGGAACTGGTGCAAAGCTATCAGCAAAAGTAGCTGGCATTCACTGGCATTATGGTACACGATCCCATGCTGCCGAGTTAACTGCCGGGTACTACAACACTCGACACCGAGATGGTTACTTGCCTATTGCAAAGATGCTGGCTAAACATGGAGTTGTGTTGAACTTCACTTGTATGGAAATGAAAGATGGACAGCAGCCTGGCTATGCGAATTGCTCACCAGAAGGATTGGTTACACAAGTGAAGATGGCTACAAGGGATGCTAAGGCTGAACTTGCGGGTGAAAATGCATTGGAAAGGTATGATATAGCAGCTTATGAGCAAATTTTAGCTACGAGTAGATCAGAATCTGGAAATGGTTTGGCTGCATTCACTTACTTGAGGATGAACAAGGACCTTTTTGAACCCCAAAACTGGAGGAACTTGGTCGAGTTCGTAAAGAGAATGTCAGAAGGTGGTCGGAACTGGAGACTACCTAAATCTGACTGCTGTGGCAGTGATCTTCGTGTTGGATTCATCAAGGAAAAGAAGATCGAGAAAGTTGTTGTGGTGTAGAGGTGATATCATAGTGTGTTATAGTTGAAGGATAAAAAGGAGAAACAAAAAGAGAATAGGGACAGTCTAAACTCTTATAATGTTTTTACCCTCATACATGATGTTTGTAATTATCGAGTCTCTATGTAAAAATGGATCGAGAAGGGATCTATTGCATAAATATAGGCAAGTGAATAAAACGGACAAATCTTCGACAATCCAAAATCAAGGAATTTTAAAACACATTTCTCCTAAAAAATACTAGCCATATCGCGAGGCTCTAAAGCTCACTCGAGCACAAGAAAGGTATTTGTAAAGAGAGCTTTTTTGTGGGTATTTTTTAAACTCGAGCAACCTTCAAAGTGCAACACTCATTTCAATATCAAATTAATTAATATTTTGATAATAACAAAACCCGTTTTAATTAAGTAGAATTTAAAACGCCTAATCACCGAAGAGTGAAAACTCTAATCCTTAAAAAAAAATCGAGAAGGGTTTTATTCCTATTCTTAAAAGATGCTTAAGATGCTTGTTTATAGTGTTCGATAAAATTAATTTTTCATATTTTATATCTATCTTACTAGTTCGATTAATTATCTATTATTAAAAAAATTACGATAATTATGCATCACTCCTTAATCATACAGATCCAACACATCCAATCTTACAACCATTACAGTAGAAGGTCAAAACTTTTCATAGAGAGGTTCATACCTTTCCTTGTCTTCCAATCATGCCATGCTTTTGATCAACAAATCTTGGAGATAACAGAACGCCATGAGATTGTTGTTTCTGGCTACTGCTCGAGCTTGAGCTCGTTTTCTCTTCCGACATTACTAGCGCTTTCTGTAAGCTTTCTACTACTTCTGTCATCGTTGGCCGATTCATTGCATTCTTGTTCAGGCACCGGTCTGCCAACTTTGCAACTTCCCGGGCGGAGGACAAGGAATACTGGTTTCTGAGTCGAGGATCGATTAGCATGGTGAACATACTACTGTCAACTGGAAACTGTCTCACCCATTGAAGAAGTTTCTGCTCTCCCGTGGGTCGGTTTCTATCCAATGCTCGTCTGCCTGTGAGGAGTTCATACAAAACCACACCGAAACTCCATACGTCACATTGGCTCTTGAGACGGCCCGTTTCAACATATTCAGGAGCAGCGTATCCATGTGTTCCAACCACCTGACAGGCGAAAAAACAGCCATTTGAGATAGGGCAATATAGATCCAACCTAAGCATCTAAATCCAGGGAATGAGACGTCTAGTTCACATCCTGTCACCATGATATATTTCACACGAGACGCATAAAACTTCGAGCAACTAAATCGAACATGAAAGCTACCATACGTACTGCTGTAGAAACGTGTGTGTGATCACCACTTGGTCCTTCTCTAGCAAGACCAAAATCTGAGAGTTTAGGCTTGAAGTTCTCGTCCAATAGCACGTTCGATGATTTAAAATCCCGATATATCACCTACACAAATAAATGTACGAGCAAAAAATGATCAATGAATTGAAATGATAGGATTCCATAAATATATAAATCAGGCAATAGTAAAGGAAAAAAGTTAACAAAGAGAATTATAATCGCTACTCGATGCAGCAAAAGGCCATAGCATCCGTCCAGTACTAATATCGGTTCTTTATAGCAAAAGCTTAACGCTTTACCACTCGCAAGCACAACGTGTTGGACAGATATTTCGGGATTTCTTTTCTTGTTTTTTTTTTTTTTTTTTTTTAATATCCATGATTGTTCGAACTAGCTTGCATGCACTTCAACTATTTCTCATGGGGCACATTTTGTGACCAAGTTAACTTATATGATATCAAATCCTAGGTACGAGACCACAACCGTTTGCACTCATTTATTTCCAAGGATTTCTATTGCAATGAGATGTTCATAAGGTTGAACCACATTGCTAATGAAACACAATGGTGGGTTGCAAAGATTTGGTTTCTGTTGTTCGTTGGCAAGAAATTTCACCAACAATGTTTAAGCTCAAAATCTTCCAACTGAAATTCAAAATTAACGATACAGTTACCGAACAAAAGAGAAAGCACATAAATCGAACCTGTGTTTCTAATCCTCCGTGTAGATAAGCCAAGCCCTGAGCTGCACCAATGCTAATCTCTACTCTTTTCTTCCATGGGAGAGTCGGCGACATTCTTTGGAAAAGATGGTGCTCCAAGCTCCGATTGGGAAGGAACTCGTAGACTAACAGCCTCTGGATTCCTCTCTCACCATTCTCAGCAGCATAACCCAGAAGTTTAACTAAATTTGGATGATCAACTACACTGAGAAACTGAACTTCTGCAAGCCATTCTTTATGACCCTGAATAACAAAAACTCCGACCGTAAGAATCACTACTACACAAATAAACAGTGCAAAGTTCAAATCTACTTACTTTTTCATATAAAATGTAATGTTTTATTAGCGAATCTGTTCAGATGGTACATTTTATCCCTTGACTTGAGAAGAACATTCAAATATTCTAAAGAAAACATTAAGAACAAAAGAACAGCCCATAAACGATATGAACAAATGAAAGGACACAAAAATGTCAACCAAATGAAAGTCAGCTGGCTTTCATTCTTTAGAGTACTATGTTGCTTAGCTTAGAGAATATTCTATGCAGCAGATGATTTGAATATTGATAAACACTGATATATGATTAATCACAATGCTTTTAAAATAATGAAGGCAATAACCTGCAAGCTATGCTGGTTGAGTTTTTTAATGGCGACCACAACAGGTTCATCATTGGTAGTTGAGGGCTTAACTCTTCCTCTGTACACAGTTCCAAAACCACCCTCCCCAATCTTCAGCATCCTGCTGAAGCCATTTGTTGCATCAATAAGATCTTGGAGGGAGAAAACCCTCAAATTATGCTCCTTCTCTTTGAATAATTCAGGAATACTCCTCGATGGTAATGAATTTGACGGTCCGAAACCATTTTTGGTGGCGGAATTGTTGGATTTATCCCCTTGGTTCAACTCTGGAGCGGATTTGGATATTCCTTTGGATTTGGATTTCCCCTTTGGATTAAAGAAACACTTCATATCTTTTTAAATAAGCTAATTCTTTCCGACAGAAGCAAGAAAGTCACCAATTCAAAAGGACAGTGTTCATTCGAAAACAAGAAATTCAAAGGAACTTAGAGAGAGAGACGGAGATGGAATCAGAGCGAACAAGAACCCCACGTGAAAGACCCATAAGCCAAATAGAGAGAAAAAAGGCGATTATAAAGAACAAAAGGCAAAACAGAGAAACCTAATAGACAGTTCAGCAGCAGGATGTGAACAAATAAAGAAAACCCAGATGGAATCGGAGCGAAAAAGAGAAATTAAACGTGAAGTGAGTGAAGAAAACGAAAAGAAATCGAAAAGGAATTGCTACAAAAAGCGAAGCAATCGAGCAAATAAGTGGAAAACATAAGAAAAACGCATCAAATCGAAAAGGAATTGCTAGAAAAAGCGAAGCAATCGAGCAAATAAGTGGAAAACATAAGAAAAACGCATCAAATCGATTGTGAGAAATACAGGGGGAAGATTAAATAATCATAATCGGAGCAAATATCGTGTATGAAAAGAAAAGAGCGATGAAAAGGACAGAAGTACATACCAGATTTTCCACGGCGGCAATGACCGAATGGAAGACCTTTCAAATATGATATCATCAATGGGGTGTTTGCGATCATTATAACGTCATATTAACGCGGTGGGTGTTTGTTCATATGTGATCGATGGAACGACTGAACTTTGAACGCACTCATTCTTTTTCTTCAATTCTTCAAACCCTAGAATGGGAAATGGGGACCCTACGGAAACACTGGGGTTTCAAATCTTCACTAAATTTTTTTCATTTTCTATGTTTCAATTCTTTTTTAGTCAAACTTCACAAACAAAAACATGTTCTTGAAATTACTTCATTTTTTAAATTTTGCTTTCCGGAAATCTTGGGTGGGTGGGCTCAACCCAACTCTCTCTTTTCCGGTGGGGTGGATTAACACGACCAAGAAAATGTCAACCTATTGCAAAAGTTCAGCAAACCATCCGATTGTATTAAGGTAATAGTCATCTCTCATCGTGGAAGAAGGATTTGATCATTCGAATCATACTAAAATTATGTAATATCCTCTTTTCAATTACATCAATGGAGTCCTTTGTTCGACATTCGAGGATTTGTCAATCTATTGGCACGGCTAAGTTTAGAACATGACTCTAATACCATGTTAGACAAACATGACTCTCCACAATGGGTATGATATTGTCACCCAAAAGGCCTCATACGAATAGAGTTAGTATTGCTCACTTATAACCCCATGATCATTCCCTAAATTAGTCAGTGTGGGATTTTCATCATCCAACACAACTATCTTAGCCCCCAACTAACTCTCAAATTTATTTTATTAAGACTTCCTACTTAATAAAATATTTTGAACATCAAACATTGAAAAATATGGATAAAATTTGTAGAAAAGAAAAGGTAAATAAATAATAAACAAAATCGAGCCCAAACTTCACGTTCAAAAATCGAATCACTATCCAAAATCGAAATATTTTTAAAAACATTTTTGCACGTATTAATCATAATAGAGAATTTCGTTCTTTTTTTATTTTATTTTTATTTTTTATAAAGTTTAGAAATTGAAAATGTTTTGTATTTTAAATTTGGATTTCAACGTCACAAAAATTAATTTTAATATTTAAATTTTTTTTTAACAATATTGTTTTCCTATTTAAAACTTTGATTATGACTTTTTTTTCTTTTTTCTTTTTGGCTAAGTTGGATGTTACCGTTTATTTTAATATTCCAAACATTTTAATACATCCACTAAAAAGTTAATTAATAAAAAAGTATTCTTATTTGTCACGATATTAAAAAATTAATATTATTCCAAAAATTTGAAAAATATTTTCGAAAAATACTAAAAAGCATATAATATTATTTATTCTCCGAAACAAAATGTATACACTTTAAACAACAAAAGCTATATAATTTTCAATGTTTGAACTCGTAATCCTCACGTTAATATGTCTAAGTGTAGTAGTTCACGCTCTACGAATATGATAAAAATTAGTAGAGAATTTAAACCATGAGGGTTAGGTGCACCAAATGAATCTAATTCAAACCGTGGGCGGCATATAGCATTAAGTCCACGTACCAACCAAGAAAAAGGTTGTTGGATTTAATGTAGTTAACGCATATGGGCGAAATGATATTAATGTGGACTAAGAACATAGAGGAAATTTTGCATAAATAAATAACTTGTGCAATCAAATACTCGCATTAAAAACATACACCAACCATCGATAAATACATGTACCAACCAAACTGCAAGAACGGAGTAATGCATGAATGGAGACGGTAGATGAGAGAATTATGAAAACCTTCTTTGCTCGTGTTCTTGCTTCCTATTTCAATTTTTCCCCGGTAATTCATTCCATTTTTTCTATTTTTATATTTTTAATAGATAATTTTTTATTTTTCAATCTAATTTCTATTAAAAGACTGTAATAATTTTTTACCAGAAAAAAATATAATATTGACACAATATATGTCACTCAAAATGTGAATAGATTTGAAAATAATATTATTATTTAAGGAAACAATATCGATTGAATGAGAAATATAATTGGAATCGAAGTTTCAATCTTTATTGATATTTACAACGTTTAAATAGGATACAAGTTATCAACTAATACCTACCAATAAGAAAAATATAAACTAATTAAATATTGACAATAAAATAAAATATACTACTAATCAAATTATAAACAGAAAAATATTAACGGATTACGAATATCTTGACTAATTCAAAATAGCAATAAGTTACACTAAATTCTGACAAATATAATGTTGAAAATAATTTCTAAAAATTCAATTTTCAATAATACAATATAGTATTTCATATATATATATATATATAGGGGGTGAAGATTTGGCGGGATCGAAGATGAGAATGAGGAATATAATCTCGTCCCTATTTAGGTAACAAGAAAAATCTTTTTTTTCCTCCCACATTCTCCATTTAAATAAGGATTCTCATCCCGTTTTGAGCTGATCACGATCTTACCGATTAAGTGAATATATCTAGAAAAACAAAATACGTAAGTGAATGGATGAAGAAAAAAAACCAGTGTGGGTGAAGAAGTTCAAACCCTAGGATTAAAGATTTGGTAAGGAAAATCTTATAATTAGTGTTATGAATCTTGAAACGCGTAAAAGAAGAGATGAATCAAGGGATTAAAGGAACACAATGGAAAGTAAGATTTGGAGAAGGAGATGGAACACGAGGAATTCGACAACTATAGATACGGAAAAAGAAGAAAATGATAAGCAAAACCACCTCCATCAAAGGAAAATGTGACACCCGAATAAATAAAAGGTACATGAATGAGCTGAGACCTCACCAAATGAGAACGATTAGGATGATAAGAAGAATTAAAAGTTATATATGTTATAAGAGTTTGATTAGTTCAATAGCTTATGTTTATAGCTTAGTTATTCTTATGTCAAGAGAGAGTTGAGTGAAGACAAAACTTTAGGTAGATCCCTCACTTCGATGGTCACTATGATCATTAGAGTGAGCTTATGGAAAATTTGCTCAGAGCAAAGGGTGTACGGAGTGTGGTAGAGATGGATTTCTCATGACTGAGTTACAAAAGGGTCACCTTGATGATGATAGACTCAAAATCACCAAGTAAAGCATTACCTCTTCCAAGCAATTGATCGTACTGTTTTTGAACAAATCTTGGATCGTCGCACAGCCAAGATTGTTTGGGACTCAATGAAGCAGAACATTTGGTGGAAACCTTCATTAAGGAGAGAATTTGAGATCTTAGAGATGAAGAAGGATGAAAGTATTACAGGTTATTTTGCAAGAGTGACGATAATCTCCAACAAGATTCAAGCAATGGAGAAGATATGCAATTTTAGAAAAAATTGTGTACCCTAAATGAAAATTTTGAGGAATCCAAAGATACTGATAACATGTCCATTGAGGAATTACAAAGTTCACTGGTGGTGCATGAACAAAAATTTCAAAAATCCAGTATTAATGGAGAGGAGCAAGTTCTAAAAGTCGAAGGACGAACGAAAATAAGTAACAGAGGATGAGGAACTTAGAGGGTAGAGGACGCAAGAGATGAAGATTAACTTTCAACAAAGCAACTGTTGAATGTTATAGGTGCCATTACTTAGATCATTTTCAATATGGATGTCCTAGGATGAATAAGGAAATGAATTATGCAGAGCTGGAAGAAGAGGATGAAATGTTGTTAATAGCTCCTATGGAAAGACATGAAGCAAAAAGAAGTGATGCTGGTTCTTAGATTCTGGTTGCTGAAACCATATGTGTGCAAGTGAAGGTATGTTTTCAAGCTTAGACAGAACATTTTCCCACATTGTCAAACTTGGAAATAATACAAAGTATGAAAGTTATGGGAAAGGGTGCATTGAAAGTAATGTGTATTAGGTACCTAAACTCAAAAATAATCTTTTGAGCATTTAGTAATGTGTATTGGGTATCTGAACTCAAAAATAATCTCTTGAGCGTTGCACAACTACAAGAAAAATGAGTAACACTGTTGTTTAAAGATGGTGTATGTAGCATTTATTATCCACAAAAAGGAAAAATAACATAGTCAATTATGAGCGCAAATCGGCTGTTTATTTTGCGTTTCAAATATGGATCGGTTAACACTTTAGCACCTCGTTGGGGTCACCAGCTTCAAGGAAGGCATGAAGTTATTTTCTTGTAGAAAAATCATAAACATTTTATCATTTTAAATGTTTCAAAAAGACGTGGAAAAGGAAATTTGAAGGACAGAGGAGGAGAATTAAACTCTCCAGAATTCAACAATTTTTGCAAACAACATGGAGTGAAGACAGATAGACGAGGAGAATTCAACTCTGTAGAATTCAACAATTTTTACAAACAATATGCACGAAGGACAAATAGAGGAGGAGAATTCAACTCTCCAGATTTCAATAATTTTTGCAAACCGCATGGAGTGAAGACAATTGAACATAGCCTATACTCCACAGAAAAATGGAGTTGCAATGTGCTTTCTGACTCCAACTAATTTTTGACAATAAGTTCGAGAGAGATCCTTACCCGAATTTGATTAGTTCAAAATAGGCATAGTATTTTTAGGTAGTTTAAATATTTTCTAAGATTTTAGAGTATTTTTTAAGTAGATAGTTTAAACGTTGAGAAAAACCTCTCACAAATACTTCCTTCATATATACAAAATCTCTCTCAAGTTTAGTCACTCACCGGATTCCACAATCTCGTTCTAAGGCCGGAGAATTGTGGAGAAGACACTAGTGGTGGTTCGAAACCAGTTCGTAAGGAAAAAGAAACTTGAGCGACAAAATGTTAGTATTCAAACTCATTGAGTTTTAATGCTTTTGAACATGCTAGTTAATTCACCATAATTGATGTACTTAGAGTGTTTAAGATCCAAATTGCTTACGCATGTGTTATATTAACACCATCAGCTGTTAAAATTTTCCTACGATACCACAAGAGTTCGATCGTGATGGAGACAAAAATGTAATGGACTTAAAAACACAAATTAACGAGTGGGTCACATGCCTCCATAGTCTTGTCCATTGATGGAGAATACTTTTGAAGTGTTTAATTGATGCACGTCAAAATTTGTAATTATTTTATCCTTAGAATCATAATTATTCGGTGTTGAACACGACGATAAAATTATTAATTGAGTTAAAATTACTTTTACGATAAATTTGAATTATTAATATTAAAGAATAAGGATCTTAGAATATTTTTTTAGACGGGAAAATAAATATTTCCAATCTTAATTAGATTTGAGTCAAATGATTGTGTGAGATGAAACCTGAGAAATTGACACAAAAACCAATAAAATGATGGAAAGTGAAGTTTATTTGTATTATTTTTGTTGGATTCTGAAAAATTGAACGAGTAAAATAAAGAATTCCAATTATTATTGTTATACGAGCGCAATTTCGAGAACTCTTTGTCTAATTTGGATAAGGTAATAGGAAGGTGTGAAGAGAACAAATCGAGTAAGAAATCAGACAATTTTATCATTTGGAACCCGTCTTATAAGAGAGAGAGCGAAGTGGAAAGATCTCAGTCTCATACCATTCTAGTGGCTCGACCATTAACCAATGACACAAATTAAAAAATCCCTAGTTCTTTTATGAAGGACACTCGGCCAAATCTATTAGTAACAAATTCCTCATATATCTAGTGGCGTCTATCCAAAAGATACTCTAAAGTGGTCTGCTTGAAGAAGACCATGACCAATTCATATGGCCTTTTTGATGTACGTTAGTGACGGAGACATCTTAAATTGGTCCACCGGCATCATAATCCGTCCTCTACGTTTAGAAACTACAAGCTCAGTAGAATTATTATTAAGTGGGACGTTAAGGTCTAAGGTAGGAAACTTATAACTTTTAACTCAAAATTTTAAAAATATGCCCTAATAACGAAAAGCACAAAGGCCATTATGGTTACAAAAGAGAAAGAAATGTGTGATATGTATTAGGAGTCTACATTCAACTCGACAACAACTCGGACCAACTCAACCTGAACTATAAGGGTTGGGTTCATTTTTCTGAACCCGAACGGAATTGGTTCGGTTTTGGGTTCGTGGGACAAAACCTTTAGGTTGACCCAAGCAAAATAAAAATATATTAATATATTAAGAATCCATCAGTTGGGTTTGCCAGAGTCGTACTTTGCCCAGTAGACTCACGTTAAGCAAATACATGGTATTGTTTATTTAATTTCATGATCTATGCTTATAATTTTTTTTTTTATTTTAATCTCAAGCAATATCGGTATTTAGTTTTTAGTTTTATGATAATGTTGAATCATAAATAAAACTTTTAAAAAAAAATTTGACAACTCAAACTCAAACCCAACCTGAACTCTTGGGTTGGGTCAAAAAGAACCCTCAACCCAACCCAACCCAACCCGGTCCATGTACACTCCTAATATGTACTCCAGATGATTGATTGATATTATCTTCTTGTTGATTTTGTATGAATGCTTATCTGCCTAACAAGCATGCATGAATGTCTTAAGTTAAGAATAGGGGGTTAAAGCTATGTCATTTTCATGTTGACCTAGGTTAGTACGTTTTTGGTATATCGAGCACCTTAAGATTGTGAGCAATGATCAGTGGTCAAGACCAAAATGCTCCCAAAAATTTAGATTAGCTCCTTGGAGCTAGTCTCGAGTGGCCTTAAAATTGTGAGTTTGAGATTTAAATCTCCTAGACGACATAAGAACCTAGTAAACCTCCACAACACCCAATAAAATTAAAGAGAGCTTACAAGGTTGCTAGATGTGTGGACGCTATCACCTGAGATTGTGTAACGCCTTAGCTCCAACGAGAGTTAATATTCTCGATTCTTCCTTTTAAGACAAACTTTTGAGATCGAATTTAAAGATGGAGAAAAGAGAAAATGCTTGAAATGATCCTAAAAAACCTTTAATATATATATAAAATAAAATAATTAAAAAATTTGGAAATATTGTTTAAAATCAACCGAGGGGCAAAATAGTCCTTTTGCCATTTTCATACCATATGAACTTGAAGAAAATTGTAAATTCAATTTACGACACGATAAATCAAGTTCTATTAAAATTGAACTCATGTTACAATCAGTTTCACATTAAGAAGTATCAAGTATCATTTATGTAAAAGTTTTAAGATACTTCAAATGTAGTTTCATTTATTATGGTTACATATTCACGATAATTAAAATCTACATTTGTTTCATTAATGTATTTTAAGTTTAAAGATTTTTTTATTTATTTAGATTACATTTACGCTAATTATGGATGGTTATAAAATATAAATGTTACAAACTCTTGAAATGTCAAGAGTTTCCTTTTGAGGTTATATAAAATCAAAATCATTATTGTTATCTAAAAAGAGCATTTGGGCGTTCCTTGACCCAATGACTTAGTTTCTTTGCAATTCAATGTAGTTTAGATTGCATGTTTAGAATCATTCTAATTTTACTTTACCTTATGATTCCTTCCGATATTTGATCTAAAAAGTTAATTCAAATCTTATTTTACGTTGTAGTGATTCCTTATCATTACCACTAAGACCTTCCATAAAAAATTGAAATTTTAAGCTTTACTCCCTAAATGCTGTTTCTTCTTCTCTCGTACTAAATCTGAACTTTCTTTATGTACATGCACGTTTAAAAGTTCTAAATTCTACACATTCTTATTTATTTTAACCTTTACTCTCCAAGTGTTGTTTCTTCTTCTCTCGTATTGGTACTAAATCTAAACTTTTTTTTATGTGCATGCACGTTTAAAAGTTCTAAATTCTACACATTTTTACTTATTTCCACTCAATGAGTAACCGTTTGTGGCTCGAATCCCTCTAAAAAATGGATCGTTATAACACCATTGCACAGACTCTCGAGGTGGAACAAAGTAAACCTAAGGATGTAGCAATGGAGATGCTTTAGGCACAAGCGCCCAAGAAAAGCAAAAAGAGAGTTGCGAGTCAACACATGCTCAGAGAAGAATAGGCACGAGGGACTAGCATGTGAGGTCCCCTAAGCACTAGTGCCTACCCCTGAGGTGCCCTCGACGCAGCCAACAATGACACTTACGTTGGAGGCGTTGTAGATGTTCATGAGGACTCGACCTCTCTATTTAAGAAGGGTTTCAAGAACATTAAAAAAAAATATCTATGCATGGGTGTCTTATCTTTATCTCTTAACTAGTGTCTTATGAGAAGAGTAGATTTGAGTATTTTAAGAAATACTTTGTTGACTTCTATCGAAGTCGGGAAATGCAAACACAAACAATCATGAAAGAACTTATCCTTTCATAAAAACATTTCATAGTCTTAACTTCGCTTTCAAGTTCAGGCTAAAATTGGATTGGATTAATAGTACTTGTTTGCACACGGTCGTGACACAGTAGATAAATCACTTTCTTTCCTAGTCTTTCCTTTTTGCAGTGGAAGAGGGACAGCTAGTCAATCTCTGCTACTTACATAATTAGCTGCTCTTGACTCTCCAATCTGCTACTCACATAATTAGCTGCTCTTGACTCTCCAAGCTCTGCTACTCACATAATTAGCTGCGGGCCATGTTAAGGCGAGAATCACTTTCTTTCCTTATTTAATCACTTACTTTCTTTCCTTTTTTGGTGGAAGAGGGCCATTTTTTAGTGTAAGAGGTTAACTCTCCCGTCCCCATCTTTTCAATATATCTATCTATGTGGTTATCTATCAAAGGCCGCACCAAAGTGTCGAACGTTTCCTTAGTCTTTGGATATCAGAAATAAAATCGAACGTTTCCTTAGTCTTCGGATATCAAAAATAGATAAAAAGAGCCTGAGCCTTTATCTAAATCCGACTTTGCCAAACACCATATATTAATTACATCATCATTATTATAATTATGACAATGTTTGGGAATAATTTAGCTTCATGCCAAATATTACAACCCTTGTTCTAAACAAGGGGATGAACATCTCTTACTGTTCGCACCCATAACACGACCCATTCTAGGCCACGCTTCAAGACTTATAATAATTGATGTTTATGATAATGATATAAATAGTAATGACTCCCCAAACATGAATGCAAAATGATACAATATATGAGTGATTAAGATTATTCAAGACATAAAAATCAGTAAAATCTCAGGACAGGACAGGACCCAGTGAAAGTGAATACAATTTGTAGCTTTGAAGTCAAGGGGTAATCATTTTGAATTTGGATAGGTGTATGAAGGAACCTGGCTAAGCTGTCCCCCCACCTTTTGCTTATGTTTGAATGAAGAATGGCCAATCCCTTCCCTTCTTTCCATCATTCAGCCCATCAGAGCAATCCCAGAAGAGTAAGCGAGTTTCAAGATATGGATGATGATTCTCTTTTGTAACTCGGGTTTTTAACTGGAATTCCATAGCAGTCTCCGACTCTGACTCTGGACGGGCGGTGCCAGCCCTGGGATGTCCTGAATGTCCTTGTTATTTGGATTCACCAGCTGAGGGAGACATTGCCAGAGTTGTTCAGCTATATACATAAAAGAAAGGAGGAAAGAAGGAGGGAATGGTAGGTACTACCTTGACAATGATGATGGCAATGACACCAATGACAATGATGAAGAGGAGGGCCATTATACATTTATCAGTCGCGATTTGTCGACCGAGTTCCTTCACCAGTTTCGAGGCTTTCTTCAGTGAGAAATGTATGGAGTCAAGCTCGTTTACTATCCTGCTCATTTGCTCCGTCTGTGCCTTCAGTGCTGCTGCTGTCTCTGTTCCCACGTTTACCGTCTCTTGCACGACCTATTCCATACATACACCCACCATGTATCGTTTTATTTCAAAGGATAACAACTGAACAAAAGAACTTCATTTGAAATCTGTTATCATTTCGAATTCAATAGGAATAGTCCAAACCGATCGCTAGCAGATATTATCCTCTTTGGGCTTTCTCTTTCGGGTTTCCCCTCAAGGTTTTTAAAACGTGTTTGCTAGGGAGAAGTTTCCACACCCATATAAAGAATGTTTCGTTTCCCTCTCCCATCCGATCTCACACCAACATAAACAAATAACAGCAGAAAATTGTTGTTCTAAAGACAAACTAACCTTTTTTGACCTCTCAATTGCTTCATCAGTCTCATCCATCATCCTGTTTCCACTATCAATCAGTTGCTGATTTGTCATGTCTGCAATAACGTATACAGCCAAAGTTCATATTCAACATTGTAAGCATGTCGGGTTTTGGTCGAACCCACCTATCAGTTTAGGAAAAATTTAAGATTGAAGCTCAAACAACGGACATCTAGACCGAAATATCCAGTTTTTCGCCTACCATAGTATTTCAGGCTTCAGCTCATATTCACAGTTGTTACTACAGCAATAGTATTCAAAAGTTGTTTAAATCCTCTACTAAATAACAAAAACAAAAACAAAATATGCATACTTGAAGCTAGCAACACATTATCTTCCCCATAACTTTCACCAGGACCATCAAAAAGATCGATACGCTTGTTTCCAAGATTGCTTGCATGCCTGCATCATCATCAACAACTACCAGATGTCAACGTTGACATGCTACGACATTCGTTCATTAAGTCAACTCACAAAGCAAAGCAAATACTTCTCAACTATATTGAGGATAAGGGAAAGGAAACGGAATCAAACTATAACCGCCCAAGTCCACTTTTAGCAGATATTGTTCTCTTCGGGCTTCCCCTCAAGGTTTCTAAAACGCGTCTACTAGGGAAAGGTTTCCACATCCTTATAAAGAATGTTTCGTTCTCCTCCTCAACTGACATGGGATCTCACAATCCACCTCTTTAGGGTCCAGCATCCTCGCTGACACTCGTTCTTCTCTTTAATCGACATGGGATCTCACAACCCAATGAAACATTCTTTATAAGGGTGTGGAAACCTCTCCCTAACAAACGCATTTTAAAAACTTTGAAAGGAAAGCGAAAAGGGAAAGCCCAAAGAAGACAATATCTGATAGCGGTGAGTTTGGGCTGTTACAAATGGTATCATAGCCAGAAGGGGTGCTGTTCTAGTGAAGACGGTGAGCCCTGAAAGGGTGGGGAGTGGACACGACACCAAGCAACATCCTAGTGAGGACGTTGGGTCGTTACACAAACAATGAACATAAGTTCTCAAACAAAGAACAAAGTTCTCAGAAGCAACCAAATACATTGATGATAGATATTGAATCTTACTGCTTTTTAAGGGCAACATATGAGTTCAATTCTTTGATCTGCACAAAGATACAGATCATATTTAATAACAAAGCACTACAAGAACAGAAATAAGAAGGAACAGTTCAACAAAGAATTCACTGTTAGCATCTCACCATAGACTGCTTTTTCTCACTCAGCATTTTATTAGTGTTCGAGTCATTCCCGCCTTCCAAATCCTTGACTTCTCTGTCAAACTCTTTAATAAGCCTGTACAAGAAACAAACAGAAAATGTTCACCAAAAGCAACAGGAACAAGACAAAGATAGATATACAAATCAATTTTCTTTCGGGATAGGCGGCTAATACTAATCTAATAAGTTCAATCGTCATCATCTAACCAATTGGCTCAAACACCAAACCGCTCGTGCCCACCCCATAACCACACGGGCTCGTCCTAAATGGAATGACTCTCTTAGTTACACTGCACCCTGACCCAAATCCCCATGTCCGCTCTTCTCCGCCATAGTATAATCAAGTATTGTTTATAATGTACATATATTTACATCATATCAATCCATTTCCATTGTCACTTTCTTAAACAAAGATTATAAAGCATTATTGTTAAAGTCATCACGATAATCACTAATGAAACTTTACATCATAGAAAGAATCAGAAGTGATATACCTCTTACAATCACGCATCTTATCTGTCAATTCTTCCAATTGTCTACTCTTCCTATTTGAGTCCTTGATCTTCTCCAACTTCTGAAACCCATTTCTGTAGATATAACAAGAACAATGGCAAACAAGAGGTTTTTAAGCTCATAAAATATGTTAATCAAAGTTCAAGCTCACTATTTCAAAAAAATAAAAACAATGAGTCAAAATGTTCTTGTTCTTGGAACAGGGGAAAGATGAGAAAAAATAAATAAATAATCAAAGAGTTCTTACGACAAAGCTCGAAAGATGTCATTGATTTTCCCCTCGATATCTGCAAGCTCCTCGCTGATCGAAGATAAATTATCATCCATCTTCAATTCAAATTCAGCCCTCAAACGAACAAAATGCACAGATTCTTGTCCTCCTCAGAAATAAGGGCACATTACAATCATTACAAGTGCCAAAATCTTCAAAGATCTTCGAGATCTTAGCCCCCACCTCGTGAATCTCTCAGAATCGGATTGATCGGGAACAATGGCGAAAATCCCCCAACAAATAAATGCCAATGCGAATCAAAAATCACAAACGAATTCAATCAGATCATCAATTTCTCATGCATTCATCATCTCGATCAAAACCCCAGTTGAAAAAACGAGACGAAAACTTCGAAGCATCGATCAACAGATTCAAACAAACAGATGCGAATAAACCCAGAAAAAATCTGAAGCCGAATTCAGATAGATCTGAACAATGCAGGCGAAGAAGGCGATCTAAAAAAAAAACCCCAACAACCAAATCCTTTCAGATTCTTCCCCTTGAAATTGAACACACAAAAAACAAAACAGCTCCACCTCGTGATTAACACAAAAACCTTCAAATAAAGTACAGAAAACTTGAATTTTATTGTGTTTATAGGCTTCTAAGATCTAGAAAAGAATATAATATAGAATGGGGATTTTTACTAGTTTTTTTTTTTTTTGTAAGGAGTTGAAGGTTTTTGGGTTTACAGAGGCGAAGGGGAAGAAGAGGCTGAGGGGGAGATGGAGATCGAGAGGGGTTTGTATCTCAAGAAAACAGAGGCGAAGAAGTTTCGATTTTTTTATATATATTTGTTTAAGAAAATAAAATTTGAATTTTTTTAGGTCCCGTTGTTTTGGGCCGATGAATAATTGGAGTGGTCGTTTTGCTTTGTTTGAAATCAAGAACCAATCGCGCTACATAACGCGTAGCTCCACGCGCTCCCATTTTTTGTTTTGAAATGAGAAGCAAACATTAGGTTAAATTACAAATCTAATCTCGATGTTGATTGTACACGGTCAAATTTTGGTCGGATTGAGTAAAGATCATTTATTATTTATGTGTCAATTGCGGGTTCTTTTTTGTATATTCAGCCAACCCGAGCTCACAAATAAATCAAATTGTCAAATTCTACAGAAGTTGTATTAAACTGTCAATTTTGACCATATTTTTTATCTCATTAGTATATGAATAGCTAATCATATTCAATATTTTCATAGTTTTAATAGTAAGATTGTTTTTTTTTTTTTAACATTTTATCGAACTATAAATTTAATTTTATGGGAAACTAATTTAACTTAAAAAATAAGACAAAAAAAAACGAAAAGAAAAAATTAACCGTCAATTTTGTCCCATATTTAGAAAAAAAAATTCATTTTTTCACGACTGAGGGATCATATAAGTATTAATAATTCATAAATGATCAACATGTTATATCCATGAACACTTATTCTACATGCATAAGAATGCAACTCATGATCGATAGTACAGTGACTTAAAAACAATGAATGAAAGTTGATTAATTAATTTATTTTGGTCTATAGACTTCTTTTTGTTAGTTAATAATACTAAGTTGAAAATGACGGATATAATCAAATTAATATTTAATATCTTATATATACATATATGATAAAATATCTATTTATTTAATTTGATGCAACTCTTGAGATAAATTCGTCTATATGAAATATAAAAATTAACCAAATTGGATGTTAATCAAACACTAGACATGCTCCACAAGACCTTAAATCTTGTCTACTCTTACCAATCCTAAAATGCCTTAAATGTATTATAGGGGGAGACATGATATCGACTCTTCACTCTTCATAGGCTTTGGGGTCTAAGTGAGCTAATTCATGGCACATGCATGAGTTATGGTGTAAGCAAGCTTTGCAAAATGAATGTCTTAGACATCTTCCATTAAAAATGAGTTTTCAATGACAGTATCAAACGATGCGAGTATATCAATATTACATCCAATCCCCTAAGCCGACTATTGGTATATTGGGTCATTCTCTAGTACTGTAACTAGAAATGACTCAACATGGACATGAGAGAGTTCATTCCTCAATAGTACTCAGATGGATGGATGTTTGAGGTGTCTCAATGTAAAGTCAACTCATTGGTAGATTATTGATAACTTTGTTCAAGTGAGCAGCAAAACTTCAATAACATCTCGGGACTTGGGATGACATCACGAAGTGTGAGTTGTGTTGTTGAGAATCAAAACAATGAGATGAAATGTGACGTTGTATTTGAAACACTTAGTCTGGAGTAGAAACAAAGTCAAGCTGAAGGACTTGACCTAGAGTTGAGGCATGTCAACTAAAGTTGCAATCAAGTGAACATACACATATGGGCGTATGACTTAGTTTCCGCATAAGTTGCGTTCAATCGACGAAGGAGAACCTTACCTAAACTTTGACGAAACCCCAAAGTTGGCTTAAAAATTATTAGAACATAAAAGGAAAGAATATAATGGAGAGAACTTGCAAAAGAATGGAAGTTTAGAAACATGAGAGTGGAAGAAAGACATAAAAGCCCAAAGAGAGCTCAGGCTGATTTTCACTATACAAAAAACACCACATTTGCAGGGCAGTTCCTTTCTTGATCTACTACTTAATGTGTGTATATACAATTAATTACAAAAAGGAGACCAGAAAAAAGAGGCACAAGTGTGTGTAACATCAATATCAAAGCTCAACTACAGCCACGGTTGAGCTCATTCTATGTACAATACCTGTTACATTTAGAGTAACAGACATGAAAATGAACCTATCTGCTTTGCAAGGGTGGTGCGAGCAGTTCCAGGCAGGTACCTTTCAATGGTAAAAAAAAACTCATAGGAGGGTAAAGAATTCAGAACAAAAATGAACAACTTGTGTCTTCTTCCCTTCGGAAAAGTATCGTGCACTAACTACTGAACCTATACAATCAGACCACTAAGATTGGTGAGTTGGTGCTCGTTTCTTGATCCATTTGTTTCTGGACAGCCTTCACAGCAGCAACTCTTGCTGCGTTTGCTGCTTTATTAGCAGCAGCTACAGCTTTGTTAACTCTTTCCTCCACCCTTCCCGCATCAAATGCTTTCTTCTCTGCACCTCTTGCTTCCTGCTCCACGGAATGCCACTCGGTTAAGATCATTGTTCTATATATATATTTGTCGAGTTCGATCAAGAATCGCATTTTTCCCCCCTATATCTAGTCATTGAAATGCCAACGGAATATAAATGGACAAATCATGTTAGTAGCTTGAATGATTTTAAAAGAGTAGCATAAACTACAAATCTAACAAGGCGGCAACTCTTAAGACCTACTACACTTCAGTCTACTAAATTCGACTAATTTCCAAAGCTACGTGATGCATAAGGTCGACCATAAATACATGATGCATGTTTATACTCCTACATAGATTATCCCTTTCAAAGTGGATGGCTCATCCGCAGCGAGAAAAAAATAACAGGGCTTGACGTTGTGACAGTGCAAAAATTGGTAACATGAAAGTTTCAACTCACAAAAAAGAAGTCGATTTATAGGCCAGTCTTTAATAAAACCCCAAGAAAAGAATGAATGTGATAGACCTTCGGTCAAGAACATAAACACTAGGACGAGAGGACGAGAGGTTGAATGAGTTACTGTTTCATGTGGGCCAACGTTCGTTACTATCTCGGCTAATTTGGAAACTTGAGCGTCATTTACATAGAGGAGCGTAAGAGAGAGAGAGCGAGAGAGAGGCATCCTTTTGACTAGTCTATCAAGTTTGTGGAGGGGTTAGGGAAGGAGCTCCCAAATCCTTCTTTAGCCCCTTGTAATTTCTCTCGGTTTATCAATCGTAGAAGTTAGTTCTACAGAATCTTCAGGCTGCTAAAACAAATAATAAGAACTTTACCTGGACTGCAGCGAGAACCTTAGCATGGCTGACAGCATAAGAAGAACCTGGATGGCTATTTTCAAGAACAGTAGCATTAAGAATCCCATTTTGCCAATGACCAGATTGTGTCTCTCCATTCCTAAAGGTGTACATTCCAAGCCCTTGCTTGCTTCCTTCGTGCCAAGCTCCCTCGTAACGATGTCCATTGCCGAATCGATAAACTCCAAAACCATGCATCTTGTCTGCAAAATACTCTCCTGCATATGTGTCTCCATTTCTGCATTATGAGATATTATTATAACAAACATCAACCCCTTGTAAATTCAGTTTTCTTAAAAATCATATGCATAAACCACTGGAGGCTTCTCAAATAGAATTTGTTAATACATTTCGACTAATGCTGATGGGTTTATTTTTCTGACTTGAATAGAACGGAGTTTGTAATGGCCCAAGCTCACCGCTAGCAGATGTAACATCCCACATCGGTTGGGGAGGAGAACGAAACAACCTTTATAAGGGTGTGCACATCGGTTACACTGCTAGCAGATGTAACCTCTCCCTAATAGATGCGTTTTAAAAACCTTGAGGGAAACTCCGAAAGGAAAAACCCAAAGAGGACAATATCCGCTAGCGGTGAGACTGGGCCGTTACAGAACATATTGTTAAACTTATCTCTTGAGCACAAAGTCAAGAGACTAATACGGTAATACCCATCACTTCAGCAATTCCAAACAGTCAAAACACCATTTTCAAACAAGAGAGGAGAGATAACTCTCCAGGCGAGTAATAATAAAATATGAACTTGTCCCTTCAGGTGACAAATTCTTCACATGAAGACAAGTGAATACGAACAATCAAGGGAGGAATTCTTACTTACTTAGACGGAAAAAAAATCTACCATGGTTTCATATAAGTTTGGATTCGAATGTAATTCACTAACAATTCGAACGTAATTCACAAGACTCATAAATAAGAAGCGAGTAATGAACTTTCCTTTTCAAGAGATGAAATCACAGTTCGACAAGATCTACTTCTTAGTGAGTGTAGAATATCAAAGGAGTTCTTACTTCTTAGATGGAAAAGATCTACCATAGTTTTCTATTGAATTCTGCTTTGTGTGTATTTTGATAACAACACTAAGGCAGTTTGATAATGATAACAACACAAAAACAAATCATAAAACTCATAAACAATGAACAAGAAACACTTTGATAATGATCACAAAACTAAGGCACTACCAAAATCCATCATCAAATAGGAGAAATAGAGATAACTAATTCTCCAAATGAGCAAAATCCAGATATCCAACAAGATCACGGATGAACTAAACACAAATTATCCAACGAAAACATAACACAAATGACTCTCAGAATTCAAAACCTGAAAAGAAAAATTACCTGAAATGGTAGTGACCCAATCCATGTTTGACACCCCACTTGAACTCCCCAACATAACGGCTCCCATCTTGGCAAGTATAAACTCCACAGCCATGGCACTGCCCGTTAGACCACTCCCCAGCATAGACATCCCCTGTGTAGAATCTGTAAATCCCAATCCCATTCCTCAACCCTTGTCTGTACTGGCCACGGTACCTACTTCCTTTCGCCCATGTCTCAACGCCATATCCATCGTACTTCTCATCAATCCAATCACCTTCATACCTTCCACTCATATGGTAGTGATAAACCCCGCTCCCAGAGCACCTCCCTTTGTGAAATTCCCCCTCATAAATGTCTCCATTACTGTTAAATCTCACCCAAGAACCCGACATCTTCCATTTCTCCGATTTGGGCTTCGATCCGATCGACCAACGAACATTCGAAACAGCCTTCGTCGCAGCAGAAGACGAGAACGCGTTAATTGGAGATGATCGAACAAGAAACAGACGAATCGAAGAGGGGAGACGCGGGACTGCAAGATTGAGAATAATCAAGGCGGCGATGGAGAAGAAAAGCACGACGAACAACTTGAGAACAACGGAACGACGAGGGTTCGAGAAAAAGAAGTAAATGAAAGGCAAAGAGAGGAGGATGAGTAATCGCAAGTGAACTCGAAGCAACTCGCGACAACGAAAATGGCGGAAGATTTGTGAAGCAAGTGATTTAGTTGCGAAAGGAACAGAAAACGAAGCCGATGACATAAGAAACGGAAAACGCGAAAGCAAATAACTCGCCTGAGTCATAGCAAACCCTTCGTAGAATTCAGGGAGAAGCTTAGAAAACGCCATGAACGAGGCAATCAAAGTGAGTCCTACATGAGCGGAATCTTGAATTCAGAAACGGATGATTCTGCAAATGGTTGAGGCATACGTATATAATCTCTGTTGTTTGTTGGCCGTTTCTCCAAGAATCGAAGGCTCAGATTTTGTTTGATGTTCTTCTTTCTTAGGTTGATTCTATGGGAATGACATTGCCCAAAAAGGGCTGCAAGAAAAGCTCTGCAATCTTGATGAAATGGTATTGCTGGTTTTGTAGCTGAAGAAGACGAAACCAGATGATGCAACAACAGTGACCTCCTCCTTTGTATTTACCGAAAATGCCATTCCACTTTTTGCTTTTTTTAAAAAAAAATATTATATCGTTCACCTATGTTTCAACCATAGAATTATAAAATTCATAACATTTTTTATAATTTAAAGGGTTACTAACATGTTCGTGAATAGTGTGCAAATGAGGTCACAATTAAAAATTAAAAATTAAAAAATTTCTATTTGGGGTTGAGAATGGAGATTCCTCGCTCTATTAGGATGTTCTCCATTCCCATTTGTACATAAAAGTGCATATCTACACATGCATCAAAATTAAAGTGCTACAACTACATGGTCACTTATGAGATTTTTTAATAGAAATTAGGGTCGGATAACGCAAATAATTCATTAAAAAGTTGTTTGAAACCAAATAGAAGGAATATTCTACAAAGTGTCTTGTATTCTCTTCTCGATTGGTGTTATTAATAAAGAGTGCGAGTGTTTCCCACAGAAAGTTGTGTTCAACAATTTGGTATCAGAGCGAGATTAGTGTAGGTTATCTGATTTTTGGAATTCTTAGTATGCTCGGTGGTTGCAGCTCTATTTGATCTTCCACATCAAAAATGATTTTCTTTTAGATTAGTAGTAAGTGAGTTTCTTTTGTGTCGTTAGTAGTCTGTGACTCTGCAAGTCTTGTGTCGAAAGAGCTTGTTTGGTATTACTGAGGTATGGCCAACACGATGAGTGATTTCCAAGTCGTTGGAGGAATCAAGAAACTCGACAATAACAATTACAACACGTGGGCAACATGCATGATGTCCTATTTACGAGGATATGATCTTTGGGAGATCGTTGGCGGGTGTGAAACTACGCCGTCGGAGGAGGATTCTAACAGCGCTTGACGCAAATGGAGAATCAAAGCAGGCAAAGCAATGTTTGCCTTGAATACCACAATTGGAGAAGAGATGTTAGAACATATTTGGGATGACAAGACACCAAAAGAAGCATGGGACACGTTTGTGGTGTTCTCAAAGAAGAACGATACAAGGCTACAACTTCTAGAAAATGAGTTGTTGTCAATTTCACAACGTGACATGACGATTGTTCAATACTTCTACGAGGTCAAGTCAATCTATCGGGAGATTACTGAACTAGACTCGAAGTCGGCCATTGTAGAATCTTGAATGAAAAGGATTATAATCCACGGATTGCGACCGGAATATAGAAGCTTTATTACTATTGTACAAGGATGACCTATTCAACCATCCCTTGTAGAGTTCGAAAATTTGTTAGCCAGCCAAGAAGCCATGGCTAAACAAATGGGAGGCATCACATTGAAGGGTGAAGAAGGAGCACTCTACACAAGTGAAAGTCGGGGCAATAATAGGTCATCTACCAAACGTGGATAGAATGGTGACAAAAGAAGAAACCACCAAGGAACTGTACAACCTGAGAGAGCTCAGAAGAACGACAAAAATGAGTTTCCAAGGAAAGAGATTTGGAGGTATTTGCTATAATTGTGAAAAAAAAAGGGTCACATGTTTAGAGATTGTTGGTCTAGGAAAAAGTCGGTTAAAAGCAATGTGACAATATCCAAAAAGAAGATACAGGATGAATGGGATGCAGAGGTCCTATGTCCAATAGTAGAAGACGAGCTAGCACTCATGGCAATGATGGAAGAGCATATCGATTAAAAGGATGACTGAATCATTGATTCAGGATGCTTAAACCACATGATTGATGATCAAAGTGGTGCAATGGAAGAGGGGTGGCCCTCAGAAAAGGAAGTATTACCAAGCTTGGACAACACTGAAGAAATTCCTCTACAGAAGACGGGGGAGCAAACTGTACACTCTTGCTTAAATGCTAATGTGCTTGGAGATTTGAGTGACTCTGATGTTGATGAGCCAGAAGTGACTCAACCAAACAAACCTGGTGAGAAGGAAATGACACTTCAACAACTTAGACATTCAGAGATAATCCAAAAGTTAAATCCAGAGTATGCCAATGCAGTTATTGCAGAAGACGGAGTTAACCAGCTAGAGACATGTGAAGCATCACAAAACTTGGCTTGCCAGAAAGCGATGGAGGAAGAAATTATAGCCCTGGAGCAAAATCAAACTTATGAACTAGTACCAGGACCAGAATATATCAAATCAATCTTTTGCAAGTGGATTTACAAAATAGAGTGTACCCCAGATAGATCAATCGCGAGATACAAAGCTCAGACTATAGATTCAAGGTTCTCTCAAGAATATGAACTACGTTATGAGGAAACGTTTAGTCCAGTGGCGAAGATCACTATCGTACAAGTTCCTCCAGCACTTGTAGCAAATAAAGATCGGAAATTTTGGCAGATGGATATGAAGTATTCTTGCATGGAGAGTTGGACCAGGAGATCTACATGAACCAACCAAATGCATTTGAAAACGAAGTTGGAGTCATTAGTCAATATATGCAAAGTCCAAAGAAGCCTCATCTTGATGCGGCTCAACGAACCTTGAGATATGTCAAAGGTACAATCAATTACGATCCTTCGTATAAAAGAAGCGAAGACTAAAAGCTATCTAGATATTGTGATGTTGACTATGCAGGAGACCATGATACTCGAAAATCAATCACTGGGTATGTGTTCAAGCTCGATTCGAGAACAATTTCTTGGTATAACAAAAAACAACCAATTGTATCATTGTCAACTAGAGAAGCAGAGTATAGAGCAGTGGCGGGAGCAACTCAGGAATGTACATGGCGAAAACTTCTGATAGAAGATTGGCACCAGAAAGTTGACTATTCGATACCACTTCAATGCGACAACCAATCTGTGATTTGTTTAGTAGAAAATTCGATGTTTCATAGCCGAACAAAGCATGTGGAGTTGCACTGCCATTTTATTAGAGACAAAGTCTTGAAGGAAGAATACGGATGACCAAGTGGCAGACGTCACTACAAAAGAGTTGAATACTTGCACACATGAGAGCCAAGTGGTAGACTTGTCTACAAAAGAGTTAATACTTGCACACATGAGAGCTTTCGCTGTGGTGCAGCGAATGAGAACTAGTGCTGAGGGGGAGTGTTGAAATATCATCACTAACCTAATAGAATCAAGCCCATTGTATATTTATTTTAGTAGAGATTTTAAGATACTCAAATACTTAGATATTTTAGGAGAGAGATATGAATATTTTAGGAAAAAGATTTAGATTTGGTAAGTCTAGATTTAGATTAGATTGTTTTGCGTAGGCTCTATAAATACCTCTCCACACTACTTACATTTTCATCCAAGAAATCCAAAAACAATAAAAAGTAATAGTATTTTATAAAGTGTTTTCTATTATCTTCTCGATTGGTGTTAATAAAGAGTGTGAGTGAGAATATTCTCTTCTCGATTGATGTTAATAGAGAGTGCGAGTGAGAATATCCTCTTCTCGATTGGTGTTAATAAAGAGTGCGAGTGGGAATATTCTCTTCAAATTGGTGTTAATAAAAAGTGCGAGAGTCTTTCCCACGTAGAGGTGTGTTCAACGTCTCTATCCTAACAACTCTAAATAAGAATACAAGCTAATTTACTTTATGCTTTTTTCAGAAATAATAAATCAAAAACGTTGTTCTATTCTTACAAATTATAAATCAAAACCAAGAATGATAAGGTGACTCAGAAATTGAAAATAAAGCTCAAATTTGTAAATATTTGTTGGTCTGCAAAAAGGATTTCGATTTCCAAAAATCAAAATAAATAATAAACCCAAAAAGTGACAATAAAAAACTAAAGAAGACAAAATCTAAATATCAAATGTATGCAATAATGATGACGATCAGATTAAGAGTTGCCTGAAAGGCCAATATAATTATCTTAATATTCACACATTCAGAGGCAAAGTTTGAAAATGTAAAAATATTCATAATACAGAAAGAACATGAGCATAACAACAAGATTTCAGTTGAGCCAGATGCCAATACCAAGAAGCCAATTTCTCCATTCGAGTAATTTTTTTTTTCTTCTGTAAGAAATCAAAGTTAATGCCGAAGAAATACCTGGAAGAATATCTCATGGAGGCTGGCACAAATTATTCCCATGCTCCTGGAACCTGCCCTTTCCATTTAAGTCAGCACAAAGATCATTCTCCATTCTTAACAGGGATTTCACATCGCTCAGCAGAGTCAGTTGATCCTGTCCATCATCTCGTTCGCCCCCCTTGCCTTCATCTTATCTTCTTCCAGTTTCGTGATCTGAATAAGAACTGAGAGTTGGTAAAAAAATAAACAAAAGATAGCAAAAGAGATTCAGCAAGTACATGTGGTTTTGACATGTAAAAGAAGTCGCTATTGAAAGACTCATTTGATGCAAACCGAGCTTTCCAGTATTTAGCATGATAGGTATGAACATAAATAGAAAGGGCATCACTCAACTATTGTAATTTGTAAACTTTCAAAACATAACCATTTTGGTCCTCGCCATTATTCAGTTATCTAATATCTACCCGCCCAATACTCGCATCAATCACTCAATGAGGCTAAAAAATATGTCCATATCAACATTATCACATACTTGAAACCATAATGTTCGTTAAAAATAACGAAAATGATTATCTTATTAAAGTTCTGGGACTATAAAAGATATGTTAAGAGTTCATGGACTAAAATGGAATAAACCTAAAGAATAGAGGGACTACAATATGGATATTTTGGAAGTTTAAGGACCAAAGAAGAACTTAAACCGTTCTTTTCACCTAAAAGTTAACCATTATAAAAGCAGTCAAGTAAGTCTTCAAATTCTACACTCAGATTAATGTTATAGAATCTGAGAGGCCAGAAGGGCCTCCAACATACACGTGTCAATTTAACATAAAAGCTTTACAGTCATATGAAAGGAACGGCACCTTTCATCCTGTCTAATCTTCATTGAAGTATTTCTCCTCGGCATCATCATTGGCTTCCCTCAGCCAGTGATCATCCAACGTCTCGTCATTGTCTATTTTTGAGTAATCTAAATGCTCGTAGTCTTCTCCCAACAAAACCTTCTGATGCATGATGTATGTGAATTGGTCCATCTGATCTTGCATATCTGCTTCAGATAAAGTTGCTCCATGATTAGACCCACCCTCCGCAGCTTGAGTATTGTCTGTTGCTGACCTTTCATGCTGATTATCCTGTGCGGTGGATACCTACAAGTGAAAGCATCACATATCAAACACCTGACTATAATGGACAAGTGATATCTGCATATCACAATATATTCAGATGTGTCATTCTGATCAACCCACAATGATCAGATATACTTTTTCTTGATAAGAAACAAAGATGTTTATTAATCACAAAAAAGAAGACTACCTAAGGGACGGGAGTAGACATAACACTCTCTCAAGGAGGTACAAAAGGAGAGCCTTACAATCATTAGTAATTATGAGAAGGCTTATAGTTATAAAATAATTTTTTGAGGTTAGTACACCACCACAAAGATCAGATATACTAAACATTACTGTCTAAAGAACATACAAGCATTAAAACCATCTGTATTAGTTAAATAGAAAGGAGCTAGGAATGCAAAAGGTTGGACAATGGACAAGGCAGAAACTAAAGTGCACACCATTTCAGTTTTATTATAGAAGTCATAATCAACGGGAGGAATGCAAAGAAGACTTGTATAAAAACATATTTAACAAGCCAATAAGAAGTAGATGTTAATCAGACCAATGCATAAAATATATTTATCAAAAAATAGAAGGAAAAAAATAGAAAAGATGATACGAAATTACCTCCATGGAATGAGCTCCATTAGCAGCCTTGTCACCTTTCCCATCCTCCCCCACTTCCTCCTTCTCCTCCTCTTCTTCATCTTCCTCCTCTTCTTCATCTTCCTCCTCCTCCTCCTCCTCCTCTTCTTCCTCTTCCTTTGGGTTTAAATCATTACCTACCAAGTCCCTTTCAGCGACACCTAATCTGAGTTGCTCTCCTCTGATCTTAGCAACCAACATTGCTTCCTCTGATCTCCTCATCAGAGTCTCAGACCATCGCTCTCCTGGTCTTGCCATACCTCTACCACTTGGATCTTGAAATTTCCCTACATACTCATGATGTAAAAAAGGCTGTCTATCCCTCATTGCATCCTCCGAGAAGTACTGGCCATCACGTATCAGTTTGTTCAGATATGCCCTCCTCCTATTTTTCACAACAACTGATCTAGAGTGTAGTTCATCTGATGTTGGACTCTTTATACTCCAAAGGTGCTTTAAATGCCAATTGATCTCGTAATCATCCTTAAGATTATCAAACTCATGGAGCTCATTGGATGTCAATTGTGATCCATATCGCTCTACATCAATCAAAGTTGGAGGAGCAACAAACATTAGAATATTAAAATTGTATGGAGAGAGGCAGCTTCCAAGGATCAAAATCAAAATAGTTACAAAAAAGGTTTGTATATATTACCAATCCAAGATATTACTCTGCTAGAGTTTCAATTAATAGACTCCAAAAAGTGCCCAAATATATATTTTTTTTAACTTCACTTTCAGTAGCAAAAAGTGTGGAAATCAGAGATATTGAATTGTTTCTTCTTCACGGCTTATAACGATTCCAAATACCTAAAAGAAAATTACTTCATAAAGATATAACAGTTGTGGTAATGCGTCAGAGTTTGTTCCTTCCTCTCAACCGTAGAACACTCAGAGACACACAAAAAGACGTTAAAATTCATTATTGTTATATTTCCTACAATTGGTAAGAAATTGGGACTCATACTTCATTCTTCAGCTCACAAAATGACAACCAAAAAAAACGAAGTAAATTATGGAGCACACTGTTCTCATTAACTAATTTCATCTTCTCCTTCATTACCCTAGAAGCTAAACTGAACCATAGGACTCAGCATTATGAACCTTTCCATTAAATCTCCTCACTAAGACGCGTCGGATAATACAAGAACCATATAAAATATAAGCATGAACTACTCATTCTTGTCTCTCAAAATTTTTCTTTCGAATTCGATCAATTAAGCTAGGGCTCCTTAACAATAAACATACAACAGAAATCCACGCCAGAAATTGCAAAAATCCAAAGGTTCATTAGAGAGAGAGAGAAACCTAGAAAGACGGCGACGTCACGAGAAAGGAGGTCCAGCAGAATGGCCTTGCGCTGAGACGGATTCGTGGCAGTGGATTGAAGCGCACGAGGAAAGTAAAGACCATCATGCAACGAAAGCCTTTCCGACAAGCAATCCATGGCTTCGCAACTCAATCCTTTTGCCGCCGCTGCTTCCATTTTCTCTCGGCGTCGTCTCTTCCCCGGTGAAAAAAAAAAGTTCCTCGGTCGGCTCAGTCGGTGATGAGAATGGGGATGACACACGTGAGCAGCACGTGATAGATAATAGAGTCCGAAGAAAATAAAGTATTTCTATTTTCTATTCGGAGTGTGTTTGGCAACCCGCTTACCGTATCCCTTACATGGATTAAAGTTCCACTTTGATTGTGGTTTGAGTTAAGAAAACAAAAACCGTTTCCGGTTCGGTTTATCTTAAAAAAATGAATTTGCTCTTTGTAACAATTTTTACCTTAATTTTTTTATTGCATCGACTATAAAATTTCTCAAATTTTATTAATTTGAATAAATCAAAATTTACCTCACCATTAAGCTTAACCCATTATTTCAAAGTAATAATAATAATGACGTAAAAAATTACAAATTTATATATTAAAAAACAACTCAAACAATGTTTTTTTTTCTTTAATTCAATTAATTTTGTATAGGATGAACACAAACTATAATAAATTTCTTAATGAATTTTTACAACTGCAAAAATAGAAACTTTTATATTAAATTACATTTTAATCCTTTCAATTTTAAAATTTATTCTAAAAAAGGTCCTTCAACTTTGAAATTAGTCTAATTATAAAAATAATTTTGAAAAATAAAATTTTGTTTCAACTTTGTAGAAATGTCAATAAAATAATGTCCATATCCATAAATTTTTTATAAAAAAAATTATAAAATATTTAAACTATCAGATAAGCATTTTAAAATTTTTATTATTAATATTAGTTTTACGATATACCCTGAAATTATTTTAAGACAATATCCTATATTTTGTATGATTAAGATAAGATTAGCCATTTGAAGAGGTAACATTGCCTCGTATCTCTTAAAGAGACAACATCGTTTACAACAAGACAATATTACCTCTTCAAAAGATGACATCGTGCCCTTAAAAAAAAAAATAAAAGAATCAAAGAAAAACCCTCATTGTTTCGCCACTGTTCTTCTCTCATACGAACACACACCTACCCCTCTCACCAACCTCATCATTTCTTTTCTGTACGAATCAGTATAAGGGTGTCTTCTTTTAACTCGACAATGCTTAGTCGAAACAAGACTATTAAGATATTATATTTGGAAAATATATTTTAATAATTAGTTATGGAGTATATCTTAGATATCCATAATCAGTCGTTAGGAGTATATTTTAGGTTAGGATTTAATTAGCAGTATATTTTATCTTACTTACAAGATTTAGTGAGATATATATTTTCCCTCGTTTTTAAGTATTGGTTGATAGTTTGTATCCTATTCAAACGTTGTAAACATTAATGAAGATCATACTTTCGATCCCAATTCTATTTCTCATTCTTAACAAACACTTATAACACTGATATATTTTCCTAAAACTTATTTATTATGTGTGGGGGAAGGAAAGGGAAAATGTCTCATAATTGGGTTGAATCAGTAAACTCAGTTCTGTTTTCTTCCCTTCAAAGAAAACAACAACAACAGCTTCTTAGCTTCCTCTGTTACGAGGCAATCTCATCCACCTCAGAATTAAACACAAAACTTGGGAAGGTGGTTGTTATGTCCCTGTCCCCCACAAACAACAAAAGGATCAACAATTTGAAACCTAACCAAACATATATTATGCTTTTTCTTCTTTACCTCAAGTATGGAAGCGTCATCACTTTCAATAATGATGGATTCTTACACACAAAACTTTGCCATTCACTCTTGTCTATCTTCCCATCTCCCTTCACATCAGCCTCCATGAATGTCTGTACAATATATTCCATCAGATAAAAAGCTGACAGCGACACGGTACAAAATTTAGTATCGAGTTCTTGAATGGAACTTCGACATGGGCCAAACCGAATATTTCTTTCTTTCTTTCTTTCTTTCTAAATGATGATTCAGATATTGGGTCCTTTCTAGTTTGCTTATTTTTGTAAATTGTAGCTACGTATTCTAGAAAAAAAATGTAACAGTTCAAGCCTGCCGTTAGTAGATATTGTCATTTATGGACTTTTCCTTTCGGCCTTCCCCTCAAGGTTTTAAAACACGTCTACGAGGGAGAGGTTTCCACACCCTTATAAAGAATGTTTCGTTCCCCTCTTCAACTGATGTGAGATTTCAGAATCCACCCTCCTTCAGGGCTCAGCGTCCTCGTTGGCAAACTGCACCGTGTCTGGCTCTGATACCATTTGTAACAGCCCAGCGCTAGCAAATATTGTCCTTTTTGGACTTTCCCTATCAGGCTTCCACTTAAGGTTTTGGGTAGGGAGAGGTTTCCACCTCCTTGTAAATAATGCTTCATTCCCCACTCCAATCGATGTGGGGATCTCACAAAAAATCTCAATACTCTTTGGTTAATAAAATAGTTTTAACAATAACTGATAGAAGAGTATGATCTGCTGAAAACTACAGGAAACTCAAACAACTAATGATCCTGAAATTTTATGGTACCTGACCTTATCAAGGATTATCTCTATTGTCTCATCAGCCAGCTTCATCTCAGATTCAGAAAGAAGGGCAATTAGCATCTGCTTCACCTACCAAAGTCAACAAACAAAAAGCTCTGGTTGAGTTAACCATGAAAAATCTTCCACAAAAACAGGCACAGATCTTCCATTCATAGCATCCCAGTTGCTTATCTACCGATTTCGATGGCGTGCCATATCATCCACTACCATGTAGCATGTAAATTTTTGGGCAGGACTTGGACAGAATCAAAATAAAGATAATGGAAACAAATTGAAAACTTTTTCTCATCATTGAACGTATCTAATAATCCATGCATCGTATGGATCATATTCAACCAGAGGCATAGAGAACCTACCTCTTGCCGCTCAATGAATCCAGTGTTATCCAAATCGTAAAGCTTAAACGAAACTGTAAGGTAAATAAATAACAAGCATTAGTCAAGCCACAAAATAGAATGATACATGTGAGGTATATATTATGTCATATCCTGCATACTTACATTCAATCTTGTCTTCCTCGGGAGCATTAGGATGAAAGACACTCAATGATCTTACAAAGTCACCAAAATCAATGAACCCTTGCTGCTGAACATCAAATAGATCAAAGAGCTGCATACATAATGGATCCAACCTTAAAATATGCTATGAGAAAATATAGCCATCAAATGGAACCATGAGTCATTAATAACAGATGAAGTTAGATTCATTGCCAAAATATTACTAAAAATGAATTACAATGTCAAAACCGATGACTCGATGTGTAACAACCCAATCCCACTGCTAGTAAATATTATCCTCTTTGAGCTTTCCCTTTCGAACTTCCCCTCAAGGTTTTTAAAACACATCTACTAGGGAAAGGTTTCCACACCCTTACAAATAATGATTCCTTCTCCTCCCCAATCGATGTGGGATCTCACAACCCACCCCCCTTTGGGGCTCAGCCTCCTCGCTGACACATCGTTCGGTGCCTGGGTTTGATACCATTTGTAACAACTCAAGCCCACCGCTAGCAGATATTGTCCTCTTCGAGTTTTCCCTTTCGGCTTTCCCTCAAGGTTTTTAAAACGTGTATGCTAGATAGAAGTTTCCACACCTTTATAAAGAATGTTTCGTTCTCCTCTCCAACCGATGTGGGATCTCACACGCTAACACTTTTGGTAAGGAATTTAAGATAAAAGCTTATATATTTACCCGATTTGCTAACAGATTTTCCTTCTTTCTGTTATTAAAAATGGCCAGCTGAAATTCTTCCTGCATATAGAACAAGATCGTTATATAGAACATCTTCAAATCACTGTTGCATAGAACACATACGTTTGACTAATCCAACTAAACCAGCAAAATCAATGGCATTATCCTCACTGCTATACATGTACACATTATTTAACCAAAACAATGTGAGTTCAAATAGTTCTTGCACAGACATGAAGAGAGGGATGATAACACGAACACTGGAATGATAAGTCATATCAGAAACAAATACCCTGTTTATTAAACCATCATCTATGATAGAACTGCTGATGCTCTTGTACAGCTCAAACAATGCTTCAACTTCACTGACACTAACTGTTGAAGCAAGTATAAAGAACAAGAAGAATCATGAATAATATATGAGAGAAATTCAGACCAACATGAACGTAACTCGATAGCTAGAAAGCGTCGGGAGAGCATAGATTCAATAGAAATAATCCAAAAGTTAGTCATTAAATCTAGAAACTCAGAACTCAGAAAACATAAACAAAGCACAACTTACAAGCTGTTTGTGAGGCAAGATTTATAGGATCTTCATATCCTGGAAATTGTCTGTTTTCTTTAGAAAAAATGCAGCCCATTTACTGAAGACGAAGATTGGTGTACTACAAAGCAATCCCAACGCAGCACCTTGACTTCACTACAATACTTGATAGACCCCAACACAAGCACACAACCAGCAAATCAACTTCACAAAAAAGTAAAAAAAAAACAACTAAATGATCTGCATTAGCAAGTTTTCTGAAAATTACTTGTTTCAATTCTCAGAGACTAGGATATTACAATAGAACAGAGTGAAGGAACCATAAAATGGTCATATAAACTAAAGTGCCTATGAATAATCCCACCAAACGATATCCAAATCCCAACAACTCACAGAAAGTGTATGAAAGAAAACAAAAATTCCCCCACTGTAAAGTGAAAGATGAGCATTAAACTGAACTATTTGGTCAAAAATCGGACACAAAACAACAAGAGATCCATACTGTTCCTTCTCATTTCTTATCAACAAAGAATCAGAAAATGATGTCTAACCCCATAAAGAAACCAAATCCAATCATCACAAAACCATGAATTACATCAAATTTCGCAACAATCCACATAAAACAACAAATGCATTAAACAAACCCAACAAAGAAAACCCCACAAAAAAGAACAATCCACAAGATAAAAAAACAACTCACCAGCAAAGAATTCAGCCCAAAATCCCCAAAAGCTCGACGGAAAAAGAAGAAGTAAACGAATTAGGTTGCAATCCAAGCGAGCTTTAGAGATTATGACAGGGTTTTATGTAACGATCGAAGGGCGGAAAATTGGAGGAGAAAGAAGGAGCTTCGCTACAAATTTCTCGTCGTTTTTTCCAGAAAAGCAAATGGGAACAGCGATGATTGAAGTGCCATTTGGATTAGAGTGAGTATGAAAAAGAGCGCCAAAGCAAAAACAAAGATTATAAAGAGAATTATGCGAGCGAGAGAGAGAGGAATTCATGGTCGAGTCAAAAAGGCAACGGAAAGCGAATGGGGCCTCGTGACTGAGCATGGGTTTCATAGAATATTCGATTAAGCTAGTTATTAAGTTAATTACGTAAATAAGCTAATTATTTAATTAATTATGTAATTAAGCTAATTATTTAATTAATTCTGTTTCATATTGCTCAATTTAATACATCATATACCCATCTAATAAACCCTATAAATAATTCAATTTATTGAGAAATTTTATGTTTTCATTTTGCTCATTTGGTGTGTCTAATTACATGTTTGCCCCTTACTTTTCAAGATTAAAAAATGTACTTTTTTTTTCTTTTTTTTATTACTAGAATATCTTAATTATTACATAAAATAGGTGAGATGGAACTATGGATCTTTAACATAATTTTTCAATTTAGTTCATTTGTTTATTGATTTTATTTTACCTTATTTAGTGAGCTAGGTTCACATTAACATTATATTAAAGTATTTTTTGAAATTTTGGACAAATAAAAGGACGCGTACAAAATATATATATATACTAAATTGGTAGGATTAAAAAAAAAAAAAAAATCTCTAAGGGTATATTGATAAATATCAAAATTAAAAGTTTTTAAATAACATGGTAAAAAAGAATAATACTCAAAAGTGATTGTGAGAAATTATGCATGGAAGAGTCCCCGAATGTAAGACGAAGTCAACCCTCTTAAAGCAAACGGAGTAGCAACTACGGATCGAACTCTCCTAAGAGCTGGGGGTGAAAGAACAGGCACGGGAAGTGGAGACCACAGACCCTCCCAACAAAGGTAAGGGAACTCATGGAGAGAACCCCACTAGAACCAATACAATCGGCCTCCCTTCACTTGTTTCATATGCAATGGGACCCTATTGAGCATACGACTGCCCCCAGTAAGGCAACCCTTCAGGCATTCCAAGCGACCTTGTTCCGGAAATGTCGAGATAGGGACTACCCATCTGAGAGCAATGACAACTCCCATATGGGAGCACTCAAGTTTTTATTGCACTCCAAAAGAAAAGAGAAGAGTCAAAAGAGCCGGTCTAAAGAGAGTTTTGTATGTAGAGACATGGGTTAACCGCTGAGCGTCAAAGAACATTATAATCGAGTCTAAGGCCACTCAAAACTTTATGACAAAAGTCGAAACTAAACGACTAAACATCAATTGGCATCAAGACTTAGGAAAGATGAAAGCTATCAACTCAGGAGCCTTACCCATTCGAGAGGTAGCTAAGTGAACTGTCATTAAATTGGGGACATGGAGTGATCAGATCTACTTCGTGATTGTCAAGATGGACAATTTTGACGTGGTACTCAAAATGGAGTTCTTACTCAAAAATAATATCGAGCCTATGCCCTAGGACAAATGCTTAGTCATTATAGGGACCAATCCTGCATACGTCCAAACGAAAATCAAGCAATCTGAAGGGGTAAAGATGATATCGGCCCTCCAATGAAAACGAGTCTAGCTCACAACAAACCCTCTTTCATGACCATCCCCGTAGTAGAGGGGGAGAACTTGTTGGAACCAATACCCACTAGGATACAAGTGGTATTGGAAAAATATCACGATGTCGTGCCAAAGATTTTACCGAAGACATTACCTCTGCATAGAGGTATAAATCATGGAATTGAGCTACGGCTAGGAGTTAAGCCACCGATAGAGAACGCGTACCGAATGAAGCTGCCCGAACTTGCAGAGTTACGAAAATAAATTGATGAATTATTGATCGTAGAGTTCATTTGGCCTACAAAAGCACCCTACGGAGCCATGATATAATTCCAAAAGAAGGATGGTAGCCTTCACTTGTGCATCGACTACCGCACCTTGAATATGATAACCGTCTGGAATAAATATCCACTATCCATCATCACCGATCTATTCGACCGACTCCAGGTCTAGCTACTATCAAGTTTGAATCGTCGAAGGTGGTGAATCCAAGACGACCTATGTCATGTGATACGATGCTTTCAAATTTCTTGTCATGTCATTCGGTCTCACCAATGCTCCAGCCACATTCTGCATGTTGATGAATCATGTTTTTCACAAATACCTTGACAAATTTGAAGTGGTAGATCTAGATGACATCGTGGTTTATAATTCAACCATGGAAGAACACCGAATTCACTTGCTTTGAAAAAATGAAGGAAAACTAGTTTTATGTAAAGAGAGAAAAGTGCTCATTCACCTAAGAATGCATTAACTTTCTTGGGTACGTCATTGAAGTGGATCAAATTGGAATGGAAGATAAGAAAGTCAAGGTCATCAAGAACATGAAGGTCCCCACTTTAGTAACCAAGATACGTTCCTTCCTCGAATTAGCCAATTACTACTGGCGATTTGTTGAAGGATTCTCAAAACGAACCATTCCTCGGACATAACTACTGAGGAAGGATCGCAAATGGAATTGGACACCCAAGTGTTAATCAATATTCAAAGACTTAAAGAGAGCCACGATAGAAGGACGGGTACTTAGAAGTTTCAATGTGTCGTGACCTTTCGAAGTTGAGACTGATGCCTTTGACTTTGCCCTCGGGGGCATCTTTCTACAAGATGGACACCCCATTGTCTATGAAAGTCGAAAGGTAAACGAAGCGGAAAAGAGGCATGCCGGGCCTGGAGGCAATATTTCCTCGAGGCCAAGTTTACTGTCAAGATGAACAAAAACTCAATATGCCACTTCTTTGACTAGCTTAAGTTGTCCTTAAAGAAAGCGCGTTGGCAAGAATGTATGGTAGAATTTGGCTTCCATTTTAATCCCAAGTTAGGATAAAGTAAACTAGGTTACGTATCTCTTGAGTTAGAAGAGCGAGCATGCAGCCTTGTGCATGCTAGCTCATTTACAAGCAAGCAAGCTAAGTGGGGCAATACGAGAAAGTATTAGTGAACATCTAGCCAAATACCTAGTTGCCCTGCCCATCATGCAATTGGCTAGGGAGGGAAAGACCTGTCAGTTTTTTATCGAGGAACAACCTACTCCTTACCAAAGAAAATCGATTATACATTTCCCATTCGGGGAATATGAGGAGACTTCTACTAAAGGAATGCCACGAAACTTTGTGGGCAGGCCACAATGGGTGGAAGCGAACCTATGTCATCCTTGAAAGGTGATACTATTGGCCCAACCTCCGAGACGATGTAATACAAATCATGAAGACATGACTTGTCTGCCAACAAAACAAGGTTGAATGGATGAAAATTGTAGGGTTACAAGAACCCCTACCAATCCCCTCTTGACCACGGGAGAGTGTATCCCTTACTATATCACTCACCTCCCTAAGGTAGGAGAATTTTAGTCCATATTAGTAATCGTGGGCAGGTTTTTCAAGTATGTCACATTCGTCTCAACCCCCAAGTAGTATTAAGCTTAAACGAGAGCCCAACTATTCTTTAGGAACATTGTCAAACTGTGGGCCATTCCCACGAGTATCATCCGTGATGGTGACAACAAATTTACAGGAACTTTCTGAACTGAGTAATTCAAGTTATTGGGGTCGAACCTAAACATCTCTTCAAGCTACAACTCCCGGACAGAAGGGAAAACTAAAAGATTTAACAGCATGCTTGAAGAGTTCTTAAGTCACTTTATCGACGCGCAACAGAAAAACTGGGTCCAGTGCTCGATGTTGCCTAGTTTAGCTTCAATTGTCAACAAATCTCATCAACGAGAAAACCCCCTTCAAAATAGTTTGTGGTAAACAACCACTCATGCCCCATATCATTGACCATTCTTACGCGGAGAAAAGTCCATAGGCTTATAACTTCACCAAGGAATGGAAGCAAACCTCTGCAGTAGGACATGCCTACCTAGAGAAAGCTTCGCAATGAATGAAGAAGTGGACAAATATAAAGCGCAGGCCATTGGAGTTTCAAGTCGGTGATAGAGTACAAATCAAGTTGAGACTACAATAGTTTCGGTTTCGAGGGAGTAGGGACCAAAGACTTATGCAAAAATACGAAGGGTTCGTCTAAGTCATAGAAAAAGTTGGGAAAAATTCATGTCACCTTCAACTACCAACATGGATGAAGATTCACCTTATCATCCATGTAAGTAGCTTGAAACCATACAACCTAGACGATGACAACCATCGATGTAATTAAATAACATGATCCTTAGTCAAAATGAAAGACACGAGCAAGAAAGAAGTAGAATAGATCTTGACCAAGTGAACTTGTCATATCAGCTACCCATGTGAAATGTGCACGAATTCCTAGTGAAGTGGAAATGGCTCCTAGAGGCATAACTTAGCTAAGAATGTTGACAATTTGAAGTCAGCCAAACTTGAGATAGAAGAGTTCGAAAAGGTGAGACAATTAATGGGTCCTCAACCAATTAAGTGGGCGAGGATGTCATGGTCATGCTTGTCCAAGGCGTGTTGCCCATGGCCGCATGTCCGTTCAATGTCAAACTCTTTGCTTTTGTATCACTTTAATGCTTTCTTTTATCTCTTTCAAGATGTATATCTCTTTTTTGTATTTATTAAGTGTATAACATTTCAGGAGAATCATTGGTAAATCTGAAATGTCTCAAACTATACTATAGGGGGATTCGACTGGTCTTCAATTATTTTACCCTAAGTTATATGATATTTAAGTTGTGGTCTTTCTTTCTTTGTTTATAGCAATATAACGTTGTTTTCAATCTTTCTTTCAACCTCTTTTTCGAAAATCTCTTTGCCCCTGTTTTCTAAAAGCTTTCTTCTCAAATGGGATTAGAGGTTTGAGCATACATCTTCAGGCCATAGGCGACACTATTTCGAGTTGGCTAACTCATTCGGTGTTGAGAGTGAGTGTCACACAATCGCTTGTAAACGTCCCGAGGGGTGCAATTGTGACACAAATCACCTAGATCTTCAAGACTATATAGGTTAATAGTCATTCCCCCTTAGCTTAACTGTCTCACTAGCATCTTGAAGTTTTTAGTAGGGTCACATTTGTGATGCAACTCACCTAAACAATAAGAATAATTTTTTTTTACATCCCATTGCCTTCGATTTTGATAACTCCATTGATGATGCA